AGCTGAGTGTACGTTCTCCTCCACAAGTGAGAAATAAATGTCTGGTGTCGGATGCAAACGAGAACACGACTGCACAGGGAATGTCTGTTCCAGTGTTTCTCACAAAGCCCTATTTTTAAATCCGCCTCTGCCAAGAACATCTCAGCACAGCTGGCAGCAGACTGGTGTCTGGGGAGGACGGATGTCTTGCTCAGATATGATTGTTGGACTTGACTGGGATGGCGATGAAAATTTTAAACTGATGGGATGAAGTCTCTTTTCTGGGTTGAAGTGGAAACCAGGAAGGACGGATGGCCTCCGCCCAGTTCCTAAAGGACTTGGTCCACACTACAAGACTCTCCCATTATTCACCGTCAAGCTGTCAAAGAGGCATGACTGATGCGAGAAAGGTAAATTGCAGGCAGAGGGTGTTCGTCCGAGACTGAGGTTAAAACACATTCTAAGACAATGCAGAGTTTTTGCTTTGCTTCCTGGCTGTAACTGACTGACGAGCTGGAAGCTGTCAATCACTGCTAATTATTATTATTAATATTAATATTAATAGGCAGCCGTTTCCCCATCTTCACTCCGATGACCACAGAAACAAATACCACGAGGTACGCCCTTGGGTGACGAGATCAAATGGGCGTGACCCCCTCAGAGCTCAGACATTCTCACTCTATTCTGGTATTATGCTGTTTTTAGCGCAGAGAAGGTTGAGGTGTTCAACATTACGAAAGGGTTTGCAAGAGTAGACCGGGAGGAACTGTTTCCTCTGGGAGGTGGGTCGGTAACCAAAGGATACAGATTTAAGATAATTGGCAAAAGAACCAGAGGGGAGACGAGGAGATTTTTTTTTTTAACCCGGATCTTTTGTTACGGTCTGGAATGCGCCGCCTGAAACGGCAGTGGAAGCAGATTCGAGAGTAGTTTTCGAAAGGGAATGAAAAGGGGAAAAAATTGCACGGCTATGGGGTAAGAGGGGGAGAGTGGGACGAGTTGGTAGCTCTTTGAAGGAGCTGGTACACGCACGATGGGCCAAACGGCCTCCTTCTGTGTGCTGTAAGATTCTACGATTCTATTCAACTGTTAGCAGCTCATTTTATTGTTCATACTCTGTGAGTTTTTTTTAAAAAAACAAAGCAAATCCAAAGCATGAAATACCTCTTAACCTTCTAGCTATTTTTTCCCCTTCTCCTCCCCCGACGTGACAATCCTCTTAAATGCCCGACGTGACTTTATTTCTCTCTCTAAAACTGCTCAGCTTAACCTAATGTTGAAAAGCTCACTTGAACCGAGGTGCGAAGTTAACGTTTGGTGCACTGAATAAAATGTTGTCGGGAACGTCAGGCGGACAGAGAGAACGCAGCAATATCAAACCGCCTTCGCCAATACAAGCTGGTTTACGTAACATTACCACAACATTAACACGTTCGTAGAATTTCTGTCACGCTGTGTATAGTGAAAAGCCCGACATTGATGCCGACTGTAGAAAAGGGTGTAGCGCACAATGGCTCGGTTTTCCTGAATGGAGAAGTACAACCGCAACTACAAGAAGTACTGTGGTCGTTGGCAAGGGCAACAGTCAAGGAGGGCGAACAAAATGGGAGATATGGATTTTAGACACGTTCACTCGAATAAATATTTTAACAGTGGTGTTCTGCACGTGCACAAAAAGAAAGGCGGTGGAAATGGGAAATTAATTTTCAAATTCAATCTATTTTTTTTGTTAGGCTCGTAAATATGCGACTGTGTTAGTCAGATGCATGTCACACACAAGACACTTGTGGAGCTGTACAGTTCTTGTCTCAGCCGTGAGTCAGTGCTGCTCCTGCTATGCTTTTTTTCTAAAAAAAAAACAGAATGATTTTGTGTTGTTTCTGGGAACGACATTATGGGCATCTGTTTCATCTCAGCTCTGACACTGGGTGTTCCTTTGTGCACAATCTCATCTAAAATGCAGCAATAAGCACAGCAGTTTTGAGCAAAGGCAATTGGGAAGTGTTTGATATATTGGGAACGTTGGTGAATAATTGAACGGGTAATAATTCTACGAAATATATCGGGAGGAAATCGTACCATCTTGAAGAGTTAACAGGATAGTGGTTCGACTTTCAACTATCGAAAAAAATTGTTATCTGAGACTTGTGGCGAAACCATTTTTTTTAACATCACGAATGTATTGTAGTGCTGTTGTAACCTTTCCTCTACATCGGGTATCAGCCTCGCTCAGTTGGTAGCACCTTTGATTCGGAAGTTTGTGGGATCAAGAGATATAACATTTTAAACTCACAGTTCAAGCTGACACTCCAATACAGTAATGGAGGTGTGCTGCGTTGTTGGAAGTGCTGTCCTTCGGATGGAACATTAAGCTGAGGTCTTGTTCGACTGTTCAGGTGGACGTGAAAGATCCCATGGCACAATTCCAAAAAAAGAAGGAAGCTTCTCTTGTGTCCTGGGCGAAAAAAACCCTCATAAAATTGGGATTGGTCACTTCATGGCTGTTTGTAGGATTGAGTTGTTGAGCTTGCGCAGAAGGCTAATGTATATTTTTTATATATAATAAATACAAAATCCATTAATTGCCAAGAAACCTGCCTTTCCGCAGCCTTGCTCTTTGCCGTGCAGAATTGTGAACAGACTTAAACTTTAGTGCATTAAAACACTTACAGAAGGTGGAGGGAAAATAACCTATTAAAATATGGATTAATTGAATCGTGACTCTTTTTATCAGCTTAATGCTTCTTTTTTGCCCTTAATGCTAATTTCAGCATCTGCGCCCCTTCCGAGTGCATCTTTCGCTGCATGATCAGTACCCAACCATGACTCGTGCATCTGATAAGGCAGCGTAACAGGTCATTAAGACTTCTCGCAGCGCTTCACAGAATATATTGTAAAACGAGTTGATTGACTATATAACTTTTGTGGGCAAAATGTGGCAGCCAATTGCGCACAGCAGCGTCCCACAAACAGTCGTGGATTGAGTGACCAAATTATTATTGGTTTTTTTTATGAGGGATTATTATTCCCAGGAAAAGCAATCTGCCGATCAACTAACAACCGGGTTCCTACTTACTGCTAGGCAACAGAGGCGTGTGGAGTAAGGAAACTTGCCCAACATTTCGCCCTGCTGGAATATGACTCATACCTCCCACTCTGCTGCCTCGTACCCTGTATAACCTTGTGACAGAGCACAGAGGACAACTGGAAGAGAGAGGCGCAGTGGGAGGTAAGAGGCAGTGTGAGAGAGCAGGAGCCATGTCTAGCAGCAATAGAGCTTTCTATGGTGAGCCAGCTGTCTTGACACATGCGGAAACTCATCATGATGCTTAAACGTATCCAAGCCAAGCAGGGTTCAGTAAATTATTTTAAGAAGGTATCATTGCATGTTTTGCGTGCATAGTTCAAAGAGACACCAAATGTGATCCGGTTTACAGCCCTCAGATCTCTTACTTTTGCCCTGGGTGGCACTGCTGAAAAAGACAGGGATTTTTCTCCCTTGTGTCATACCCTCCAGGGAAATAGATCGATTATTCACTTCACTTCAATTTGCTGACAGCAAAATGGCTGCCGCATTTGCCCCCAAAAAAGACATGACATGAGACGGTAATTATTGCGAAGGACGTAAAGATATTTCAGCGCTTTTAAACTTCAAGTTGTTGTTAAGACACGGCAATAAAGGGGCGAGTTTAAGAGACGCATTAAACCCTTGTGATGGGGTTTGAAAACCAGCTGAGCGCAGCACAGGTATTGTGTGTAGGGAGTTCATCTGGCTGTTATGTGAGGTTTCCAGTTTGACCAGTTTTTCTACTGAAACAATTGTAATGTGCCTTAAGGTATTTATTCAACTGATAAACATGGGTTGGCTGGTAGAGGATGGAAGAGGAGAGAAATATTTGTAGTCGGTCCACCTAAACCAGAGCTAAAAGTGAATGCTTTTTTGTTCTTGGCACAGAACTTTGAATTTCAGAGTTAACGTAAAACTCTCAAATAAAAGTCTGGTCTGTATAATCACCTAAATTATACATTTGCCCAAGTCCTGTTCAAGAGTTTATATTTCTATGCAAGTCTGACATAACTCATACTTTGCATAAGTCATATTAAACGTATTGATGACATCAGCTCTAGTCACTGTTTGTGAAAGTGAGCTGTTTTTGTGCTGCTGTACTTTTTTGACCAATGTGCATTCTGTCATCTGCATTTAATTTGTACATTTGTGGATCAGCAACGGCTATTGCGGCAAACTGATTGAAAGGAAATTATTGGGCTTTCTCTTTGGGAAAAACTAAGCTTAAAAATCTATCTGCCTCTCGGAATCGGATACAGCCAAGTGCGAGAAGACAAATAGAACACCAAATGTCATGCTACACTGATGTGCAACAACTCCCAACGGATCAAAGGTACAGGTATTATCTTTGTCTGAATCTCCTGCACCTATGGGAATAATATATTCATGCTCGAAATGGAAAATGTCAGGAGTTTTTGTAAGCTAACCATTAGTGTAATTGTGTTTTGCCACAGATCATGTGCTGCATTGCTTCCTTCCTGTTTGTTCTCTGTAGAATTTCTACCTTGGACTAAGCATCGCTCAAGAGAGCATAACTTTGTATTCCAGTTATGACTAATGGATCTTCAAAAATGCAAGTGTGTGTGTGTGTGTGTGTGTATGAAGGATACGTTTGCTATTGAACGATAGCCTATTGGAGTGCTAAATAAAGAGAAAAATCGTCAGTGCTGAAAATTTGTAGTAAAAACAGAAATGGGAGAAATTCACAGGAGTTGTTGACTGAATTGTTGTGGATTTTGTTCCAATTCCGATCTAACAGATTGCTAGACTATGTGGGGCGTCTCTTACTGACATAGTGTAGCATAATATGAATTTGCCTCACTGCAGCAGTGAGGAATTAAAGAATCTGCATCGTTCCAATAAATTGAGGATATCACAGAAGCATTAGCGTGCTTGCATTTCTAGCAGCTTGAATTTATATACTGTCTTTCCTGTATGTGTGTGTGTGGGGGGTGGGGTGGGCAGGGAGTTAATTATCATAGAGTGCTTCTAGGAGACAAATGGCTGTGACTAGGAGACAAACTGAAAGGTGAATGCCTCGACAACTCCTGGTGAATCCAAGCTACAGACCTGGATTCAAAATGCATGGGTTACGATATGACTGACCTGCTAAAATCTGCATTTCTACCGACGTGTATATTTTGCTAAAGTGGTAAGTTCATTTGTAATGGAGTGTCTTTTTCCTGATAACGATCAGCCTGATAGCAGCGCAAGTCTTGCCAATAAGACTGGTCGCAGCATGAGTGATCAAATACACCAAATTTCACTTTTGAGCAATCAACTGTTGAGCAACTCTGGAATTGGCCAAAGGTCTCAATTGAAACCGAGCTGATTAGGTTGCTAGGAAGTAGGGTGTGGAATGTGTCTGTACAGATATTGGAGGAAAATACTGCTTTTTGTCTGCCGATGTATGGTGGATCTTAACCTCTTCTTTCTAACACTGATTTGCAAACATTAGCAGAAGACATTGCCATCAAGTATGATTCACTCCAATTGCTTTACTAAAATACTATGTGTCGCATCAGAAGCTGACCACACTTTCGCAAGTTCTGTCTGGGTTCTAAGATGTGTGTAACAGGTCTTGCCCTTGAATACATGTTCCTCCCGTGTTTACTTCCTCTGTATGTTTCATTTGGTTGAATTTAATAAGTGATCAGCAGTGTGCAGACTCTTTGTTCCATATCACCCCCCCCCCCCCCACTCATCCATTACGACTTGGCTCCCAAATTGTTTATCCTCTGCTCCCTTCCCTTTATCCAGAAACTAATCCACATCCACGGAAAAACGTTCTGTTCTTCAGAGAGAGAGAGAGAGAGAGAGAGCGAGGAATAACACGTCTACAGGGTGATTTAGGTTGTCAAATATTTGTTTCACTCGGAATATATCTTGCAACACTTCTCAAAATAACATGCCTCAGTCTACAGGAACAGATGCTCCCAGGGCTTTCTCATTGAAGGTCCAATTTTTGGAAGGCTGGAGCACAAATAGAAACTAAAAATATACTGTGTGTATATAAACAACCTGGCCTGGGAGTATTCGGTTTACAACTGTAACAATAGGTTTCACGCTTGTTCCCCTTTTTTTTGTTTCCAGAATGTAAGACCTGGACTTGGGGGAAAATGTTTGCTGGGGTGAAATTTACAGCGTTTCATAATGTGTTCCTTGTGTTAACTATGCTGATGAACTCTTTAAGAAACGCAGCACATATCATCCCTTTGTCTGCAGTAGTGATGCACTATTCACCATGAGTACACGGTAACACTTTAGATGCTCCGAGGGTTGGGAAGAGGGAGAAGGGAGGGAGAAGGGAGGGAGGGAGGGGAAGTAGAATGGCTGAATGATTTGTGTAAGTATCTTTCAAATAATGGAACTAAGAACTGCATAAGTACTTACTTTTGGATTTTTTAAAAAAATAATTTGCAAGGAATGTCCGAATCTGGTTATTACATCTGCCTTCATCACCTCCAGGCTCGACTATACAAACGTCCCGCTTGTTGGCCTTCCCAACTCCTCCCTCCACAGGCTGCAGATAATCCAGAACTCTGCAGCCCGTGTCCTCTCCCGCACCAAACTCCGTGACCCCATCTCCCCCATTCTCGCCCGACTCCATTGGTTCCCTATCCATCAGAGGATCCAATTCAAGATCCTGGTCCTCACATGCAAAGCCCTCCATGGCCTCGCCCCACCCTACCTCTGCGACCTCCTAACCCCCTACCAACCCGCCCGTTCCCTCCGCTCAGCCGGCTCCGGCTGCTTCACATCCCCCGACCCACCCACCCCACCATCGGCGGGAGAGCCTTCAGCCACTCTGCCCCCAAGCTCTGGAATTCCATCCCCCAGTCACTCGGCCTCGCCCCCTCCTTAGCCTCCTTCAAGTCCCGGCTCAAGACCCTCCTCTTCGACCATGCCATCGGCCACCCCCCTTCCCCTCCCCTCCCTTCCCCACCCCTGACCCCAGCTCGGGTCTGAAATGCTGTCCTCTGTCCAGCGCCTTGGGACGTGCTCCCGACGTGAAAGGCGCTAAACAAATGTAATGTAATGTTGTTGTTGTTCAAGGGGCTATTTTGTTAGCAATTTGAAAGATTGTATATTCCAAGAATGAGATCGGTTTGATAATCGTAAGTGGGCAATTTTGGTTTACATAACTTGAACGTGCAACCATTAAAACTGGCATGATCTAAAAGCTAAGTCTTTAAATACACACGAGGCACTTTATTTCCAAACCTTCCCGTTCAGGCTGCAAGCCAGAAACAATGTGGGCGCATTATCACATATTGTAATTACACAGCTTCGTATGAATCTTTCCAGATCTTTGTTGTGCCACTTAATTGGAAACCCTCTGAGATATCTACAGTTTATCTGTAGTTCCAGGAATCTGTTTTTGCCTTGGTGTTGTCTGACTGAGTTGCACTGAAAATTGATAGCGTCACAAGGGAAGGAAGTCGGCTGAAGCACCTTGAACTGTGGAGCAAGGGGACTGAGATAGCAGTGTTTTGAGAGAAAATGTAAGCTGTAGTTACAGGAGGAACTTAAATTGGAGGGATAGATTTAACGTGACCTTGAGTCTCAGAGGGTGTGTTTATTCCAGGTGCTGGGTTAAGGGACATAACGGGGTGAGAAAAGGACTTATAAGGAGAGGCAAAAACAGCCACAGGTCACTGTTCGTGTATGTATGATCAAACGCTGTAGAACAGAGGTCCAGCAGTTAACCAATTGGAGCAGAACCTAAAGGTAAATTTTATGATTTCTTCTTTTCCCACTTCTTTTGGCCCCAATGCAATATAACAATCCTGGATCCTGTGTTTTTTATAACTGAATGCTAACCACACGTTTGTAACATCTTTGTTTTCAAAAGTATTTCATGAAGGTATTGTCCATTTTAAGTCAAATTTGTTGACCAAAACTTGGCTAGCGTTTTGAGTATGGGCATGTTGGAATCTGTCTGTGAATGCTAGCAGAACAGCTGATGTGAAAAAGATCTACTGTAATTATATTGCCAAAAGATTGTAATATATAGGATCGTGTTTCTTTAATTCTTCGATCACAATGCTAATTAGAACTGCTGTTATACTAGGATAAAGGAAGCTATCTGAGAAATCTTGCAAAGGCTAAGGGCGTGACTTAGCTACGAAGGAAATAAAGGCAAAGTTCATGGTTGATAAATTTTGCAATTTACAACTGACGTTTTAAAGAATAGTCAGGACAGTTAAAAGCTTCAGGACATCCTCCTGACATGAAAGGTGCTATTGTATGTAAATGTAAACTTGTCATTGTATTAAATCAATTCATTTTGCAATACATTGATCACTGTCAAAAGTGAAAATAGCAACAATAAATTACATTACTGTAGTGCCTTTCACGTGGAGAGGATGTCCCAAGGAGCTGGACACACAGGAATTTGGACCTGAGCTGGGGGGGTGGGATCAGGAGGGGTGGAGGGTAGCGAGTGTAGGAGGGTGACTGAAGCTGCAGTCGAAGAGAAGGGTCTTGAGATGTGCCTTGAAGGAGGCAAAGGAGGAAGCAAGTCAAAAGGACTGTGGGGTCCAAAAGTTAGGGGCAGAGGCAGAAGGCCTGACTGCCGATGGTTAGGCGGGGGACATGGAGCAAGCCGGTTGAGTGGAGGGAGCGGACAGGTCGATATGATCAATAAACATTGGGTAAACACTTTAAATAGCCTTTCAGTTCCAAATCTTGACATTTCTGGCCATTTCAATGGATGTGCACGTGTGTTAGTTTACTGAACCATTCTCACTCGGTTTATTTCCAACACTCTGGCCTCTTGCCTAATACCAGACTCCACGTTTTGTGAAATTTGAAACCGGAGAGGAAGGTGCCTTCTGTACATTCATAGACGACAGTCTGTCTGGTTGTCGTGTATTCACATATTGGTTATTCAGGATGATCTCCTTCTAATCTAGATTAATATTGATATTAAAATACATTTCCCTTGAGATACGGGTCTTTTGCAAAGCCATAAAATGGTGACTCAGTATTTTTCAGAAGCCATTGCCCAAAACTATAGTGTAATAATCCTTACATTTGATACAGTGCCTTGTATCACATTGTCGAAACCTCTCCAAAGAGCGTCAAGATTTTAAACTGTGAAATGGGACTGTATTTCTAGGCAAAGGCAAAACATTGATAACCGCAGTACCAGCAGCTTTGTATTGACTCATTAGCTTCAAGGACAAAACTGGGAAGTCAATGGACAAGGTCTATAATTAGATGAGACTGAATGTGATGTGTTGAAGTGTGGGTATATTCAGACAGGTTAGTTAGTGATGTACAATTGTTGTGTGTGCGCCAGGTTGTCATTGAACAACCAGAACACTTGAGATGTTTTGAATGCCGCAGCCTGACCAACATTTGAAGTCGCTTTAGTCAGAAGTCGCAGCGACATTGGCATTTTGATCGGTTTCATTCTGTGCATTGTCGTAAAAGTGTCTAACCACATTGCAAGCCGTGGATTGCTGTGTGGAAACAATTAGCAGGTGGGGCAATATGCAGGGGTAATGGGAGATTGGCCACTGACAGCGCTTGTGTGTGGAATGTACTGAACCATTTTGAACGTGCGAAGGTCGCACTCGCTTAATGTGTAGCAGGGTTTGAGTTTTCCAGCTGGGCTCCACTTCCAGACACTTGCTCCCTCTGGAACATTGCCCCGGAGTGTATTTTCTTTACGTGGGAACCGATATGGTAGCTGTTGGTAGTTATTTGACTGTGAAGCTCAATTGTGTTCTGAGATTTATGGCAATAGCTCGGGTTTCCTCAGCTGAGATTGGCTAGTTGATTGAACAAGTTGAACAAATTGCCCTTCGTATTGAGTCTGGTGAAGTTCCACACTGGACAGTCTCCAGTTTAAGCGCTCTGGGACTCGACCCTACGTGAGGGGTGCTATATAAATGCAAGTTGTTGCTGTTGTCTCTACCAGCTGAGCTATTGGCGAGACGCTCCTAACACTTGTTAGTCCTGTACAAATATTATCTGGCTCAAATGCCACTTAAATCCATCTGCTTTAATGTTGTGCCATCCCTACCCTTTTCTTCCATCACTTTTGCCGTGTTGATCAGAGCCCTCCATTCAGTGCAAATGAGGTAGTGTTGTCATCTCCAAAGGCAGTTACTGCGGTGTCCTCCAATGTGGCTATCGGCCAAAACAAATCAAACCCGGCCCCAACCACAACCTACTGATGTTGGGTGGGATGCACCGGTTGCAGTGGAAGCACTGTGAAAAATCTGGTGCGAAATTAAAACCTGCGAAAGCAAAGGGAAGCTGCCAGAAAACGTAATTGTTTTGGCTCTGCTCATCCCACTTTCAGATGGTTATCGCTGTTTATGCGCAACCGGTGGCTTGACTTTGCTGTTATGCAGACGTTTGCTTTCCAGCCCAATCAGCTGATTTCCTGATTAAACCAGACCCCTAGCATCAATGGCATCAACAAATATCTGGAATCTCCTGGTCAGCAATAATCCCCAGCAGGAAATAACTGGGTAGTTTTATCATTGCGAAGATTGTGACCTCGGCTAACTCGCCTTTTATAAATGTTGAGTTTGGGCTGACTCTGTTGTTCGCCAGCGCTGTAACTTGCCTGTTATTAAATTTGCGGATACAGTGCGCGGGTGTGTATGATCAATGTCATGCATGGCATTTGCACAGGGTTATGTACGGTGGTAATTTGAGTGCTTGCCGTTCATTTCGCATGGGAATGAAGAATCACTGACTTGGTTTTGAAGATGCTTTGCTTTAAATCTTCGTTAATGTAATGGGGGCGGGAGGAGGGTTGCAAAGAAGCTCAAAAGGCCAGTTTTATGCACTTCTTTAAAGCACTTCTGACATATTCCACAATGTAAAGTAAATATATTATATTGGTGGTTTGTTCCATGCCAGGTATTCCTCAAGTAAGAATTTATTTTCTCCTCTCTCCGATGCTACAGTTCGTTTAAAGATCCTGTGGCGTTATCTGAAAGAAGGGATTCCGTCCCAGTGTCCTGGCCAATCGTTCTGAATCACTTACCTTCCAGCTGTTTTGCGAGACAGAACCTGCCTAGAGATATGCAGTCACTAAATGTGACGTTAAAGTTTTGACATTGTAGGCACTATATCCAATGAAGGATTGTTATTACTTCTACAAACGAGCAATTTCAGCAACTCAACGGGAGCTCCGTTGGCAAATTCCAGTTTGGAGTCCGAAAGAATTCAGTAGATGTAGTGTTTGAAATGGCCATCAGATCTGGAGTCAGTTTTGTGGACTCTTTGTCCTTTTTCCACTCGACCCGAGGAACCACATCGTGAGGTGGTCCCTTTACGAAGGTTAATTTTTAAGCTGTGTTTGTTTGCCTTAGAGCCCAGCTTTTCTCGGGTTGTTTTTACAGCGCAAGTACCTGAAACAATAGGACATTAGCCGCTCTTGTTTGTGCTCCATTGTGTGCTGCCGACAAGCGTGGGCAGATCATAAAAGACGTGAATGGTCAGCAAGTCCTTTTGCAGCCAGTCATGTGATTAGTCCATGTTACAGTGAGTAATGGAAAACAGCTTCCCATCTAAACGTTGGTATCTATAGACTGTTTCTACACGACTGCTTAAATCATAGGATTTTACAGTTGTCAAACGAGGCCGTTCAGCCCACCGTGGCTGTGCCGGCTTTCTGACAGAGATGTCCTATTAGTCCCACTCCCCTGGTCTTTCTGTTTTAAGTCCAATACCTGTCCAGCTCCCTTTTCAAAAGCGTGTCAGTTTGATCTGTTGGAGTGGCAGGTTTATTTTCTTCCACATTCTGACCAAAGAGTTGATTGATTTGAGGGCTGTAAACCCCAGCAACTGAGCCTCCAGCTTTGGCATCTTGTGGCTGTGCCTCTCGGTGTAGATTCTCGGTGTATAAGCATCAGCAAAGGGGCATCAGACCCTCTTATATTTGGGGGAGGGTGGAGGAATTCAGAATGGTACATGATAAAGATGGCTACCGCGTGCTCTTTTGTGAACGTAAGCGTTTTATGCACCACGTTTAAATACGTGTCTACGCAGGATCCCTTCATGGTGTGATTAATAATAGATCCATTCTGTTGGGTCAATACATACACACACACACACACACACACTGCTTTTTTCAGGTTTCGTGCAGTAAACTCTTGTGAAAGAAGCCCTAATAATTAACACGCGTTACTGTATTAGAAGTACGGTTGACTTGATTGACCGCTTAATTTACCGCCAGCTTCTAATGGACTGAAAAACTGCAGTGGCTCAGAAAACGCCACCCCCCCCGCACGCCCACACCTCCCCAACACTCTTCCCTTTTTTTGATTTTTCGCTTAAATGAATGGAATTCCTGCTGGAATACCCCGATTGTGTGCGATTCAATGCCCGTCAACCTGAACATAGGCCGTTACATTTCCAGAGGTTGCGTTGGGTCTCTATAAGAAATGAGTAATTCTATTAGCGTTTTGATTTAGTGTCTTCCACAGGCGCGATTCCAAAACTACGTCCTGAACATCTGGAACACTCTCCCTCTATCCCTCCACCTTGTCCCTTCCTTCCCCAACTTGAGGTCACGTCTGAAGACCTTCCTCTTCGACCGTGCCTACGGTCACCTCCCCCCCCCCCCCCCCCCCCCCCGGCTCAGCGTCATGCTTCTCCAGTGTGAATCGCTCTGGGACACTACCCTGCTTGAGGTGTGCGGTGGGGGCAACACAAATGCAAGTTGTTGTTATTGTGGAGTCCTGTAGCTCAGTGGTTAGAGCACTCGCTTTGCAAGTGAGAGACCTGAGTTCAATTCCAGGCAGAGGGCCAAACCTTGGGCAAGTTTCCTTACTCCACACAGAGCCTAATAATAATCCCTCCAAAACAATAATAAATTGGTCATTTTCAATCCACGACTGTTTGTGAGACATTGCTGTGCGCAATTGGCTGCCGCGTTTCGCCCACAAATATACAGTCAATTCACTTTACAGCGTATTCTGTGAAGCGCTTTGAGACGTCGAGAAGACGTGAAAAGTGCTATATCAAATGCAAGGATTATTATATATTATTATTGACATGATGGGTATTTCCAGCATTTGATGTTTTTGTTTCCGGTTTCTGGCATTGGCAATCTTTTCTGTTTCTTGAGCAGTTGTTTCCTTCCTGTTCCGCGCCTCCCTCCCTCCCCCCCCCTCACCCCAACCCACACCAGACGTCTGGACAGATTTTTTTCAGATCGCACACACTGCTCTCACTGCGAGTCTTGTGTTGAAAAGCCATAAAGAATGACGTTGTTCTTGTTGCTAGGTTCCTCAGGGCTGGGCTATTATGTTGTCACCTCGTGGTGCACACAAGAAGAGAGCGTTTTTCTGTACAGGAATCAGACGAGAGATTGGTTCACCACTGCAAAATGTTAAAGTGAACGCTATAGGTTGTGTGTTGTCCTCACACCAGGGCTCCAGGGGTGGCTTTGCAGTGCATTGTGTTGTGGAGCTGGTCTCCCCAGCGCCACTATTCAAACGATACAGCTCATTTTGAAGTCCTGAATGAAAACCTTCGTCGTCTCTCAGCTGGAGTTCCTTCCTCATCTTTCTGATGCCCAGTATTCATCATAAATGCATTAAAACGCTCGAAGAGTGGCGATTTCCACTCAATCCGTGACTGTTTTGCGGGACGCTGCTGTGCGCAATTGTCTGCCGAGTTTCACCCACAAAATATACAGCCGATTCACTTTACAGTATATTCTGTGAAGCGCTTTGAGGCGTCTCGAAGACGTGATAAGATGCTATTTCGAATGTAAGGATTATTATTTTTTTTTAAAAAAAGTTTTTGACAAATGATGGTGTCGAGGGCGAGAATCTTACCTTTCCATCCCTGGAAGCAAAGCTTTGATCGAAGCCCAACCGTATGAAACTCCTCTTTTCTTTCTTGCTTCCCTGGAGGATTCTGAGGGAAAATGGCTTATCCCTGAGTTTATAATGTACGTGGATCCACCTGTAGAAAATGTACTAAACATTCTGATTCACAGGGACGTGTTAAATGGCATGAGATAAAAATATTATGCTCATAATGCAGTTCATATTGTCGTCATATCCAACGTAGTGCAGTAAATCCTTCGTATAGAGACGGCAAAAGGTTAACCAGGAAATGAAATGTGTTATGTTGGCAGATGACAGACCTGGTGTGCAGTGCTGGAACAAGATAAATGTGTGGGAAGGGTGTTATTTTAGATATCAGTCGCACAACAATATAAAAGGGGGTGCAAGGAGACAGATTTGCTGCAGAATTCACAATCCTGTCTGCAATGTAATGTTAGCTTTCCTTTTGCCTTTAATTTCCACAGGTTAATTCCGTTTAAGTGAGAACTACGATTACCGATTCTTTGGAAATGGCTTCCGACTCCACATCTCCAGTCCATCCGCCGACCTCTCTATCTCCATCAGGTCTTCACCTCCCAGAAAGTCTGACAGAGCGGGCGCGCTCCCCCTCCCCAATGAGGGGCTTCCTCATCCCCAGCCCACTGCCAACTCGCAGGACCAGGACGATCTCTGCGTAAGTAATAGCAATAACAATCATATTAATCCTTACATTTGATGCAGTGCTTCATCATGTCATCCCAATGGGTCAAGAAGCTTCAGAGGGTTTACTGTAAAGTGTATGTAACTCTGTATTTTGTAGGTGAACATGGCAGTCAATTTGTGCTCAGTAAATATCCAACACACCGCCATTATGTGATTGACCAGTTTTTATCTGAAGGTTTGTTAGGCAGGACACCAGGAGAAACTCCTTTCTCTTAACTAATAGTTTGGTTTCTTCTAATATGAGCAAGGAAGTGTGATCATTTATTTCCCTGGGGTTTAATTAGTGTCGTTAAATCGCTCCGGCTTTGCGATAGGCCACGGGTTGCCTTAAGGATTCTCAGGGTTGGATCCCATCTTAAAAAAAATTGTTTAAAATAAAATCAGTGGGTATTGGGATTAGTGAGATTAGTCTGACTCTGCCCCACAATTAGTCTTGTGATACACAAAATGTACATCAGAGGTTTAGCTGATTGTATTCACGATGTGTCTCCATCAATCCTCATATTTACTGTTCATTGCCCATTTCAATTTGTTGGCATGGTATTGGTTGGAATATGATCCCTCAACCACCAGCATCAAGGATTAACCAGGGTACGACCGCAACTGTTTTTATGGACAAATGTTCAAGTCTAAATCTGCTAAATCATTCAACCTGTATAGCATATTTCCGTTTTAATTTCTGCAAGAAATCTTGCCAGGAAAGATTTATATCCGGCGCTTCTAACTTCCTGTATCTTATTTCTGAAACCACCTTGTCGAACTTCCACTGTTAAATCGAATAAGAATAATTTCTATGCAAAGAATGCCTGTGCACCATAACGATGCTATAAAGGTAATAGACTGCTTGCTGAGTGAAGTGAATATATCTGTGACCTGCCCAATGTAATGGTCTACCATGTATGGTATGTGTAGCAGAGCTGTTTACGTTTATATGTTTCTCACCCAGGGCTGCACGAGCAGCAGAAGGACCCACTTACAAAGGGATCTGTAAGTGCTTTTCCCGTTCGAAAGGCCATGGGTTCCTCACCCCTGCAAATGGTGACCCGGACATCTTCGTGCACATCTCAGAGTAAGTCTACCTCAAAAAAAAAAACTGCTTCACATTTGCACTTTCACGCTGATATAATTTGGAGGTAATCGAATGGTATTCTCAGATTCCCAGATAGTTGAGCGCCTTTGAAACTGTCTGCTGTGTGAAATTTACTTTTCGTTCAGTTCAGGCAAATCTGTTTTATTTATCATCACGCTCTCTCATCTCTGATTGCAATATTTGCTTTCTACTCTTATTGTCAGCAGTGATGAATGCACCCTGCAAATTCAGCCAAACTGAATTAATGTGACCGGTGATGCATTATAATTTAGAGAATTGTATGTGAGGGAAATTCCTATTTGGGCTGTGGTATCTCATCTGCTCTTAAAAACAATTATAGCTGAGTTGCTGCACTGTTATTTTTATAGATTGATTTTGAACCTATTGATTTTTTTTTTTTCACGCACATTAAATTTTTCGTGAAATCCTTCGGCTTGTGGAGTCCTGTAGCTCAGTGGTTAGAGCACTCGCTTTGCAAGCGAGAGACTTGAGTTCAGTTCCAGGCAGAGGGCGAAACCTTGGGCAAGTTTCCTTACTCCACACAGAGCCTAATAATAATCCCTCCAAAACCAAAAACAATAATAAATTGGTCATTTTCAATCTACGACTGTTTGTGGGACATTGCTGTGCGCAATTGGCTGCCGCGTTCGCCCACAAATATACAGTCAATTCACTTTACAGTGTGTTCTGTGAAGCGCTTTGGGACGTCCTCCCGACGTGAAAAGCGCTATATCAAATGCAAGGATTATTATTATTATTGTGGGAGCTAGAGAGATCAGTCGGACAGATAGCAGACTAACAGTAAGAGTAGTATTCTTTCCATATTCTGAATTTGGTGATTGTAAGATTGATATTGGAAGGGATTGCGACAACTTGTAACTACTATAACTGCAACAATTTATACAAGTGCTTTCATGTCTGGAAGAAGTCTCAAAGTGCTTCAAATAGCTGACTGGAAACTCAAGGGGGTGAATACTGACAAAAGTACTAGAACTTGGACAAGGAGCTAATTAAAAACTCATTAGCTATTGATGCAATTTACAACCCAAAGGGCACTGTTCATATGTTTTCCTCAAGACCATTGGGTCAAGGACCAATTTGTTCTTCAAAGTTGTGGATCTATCGTGTGGTTAGAAAAAGTTTTCTGCAGTGCAGCAGCGTTGGTAAGTGCATACCAAAAACAATATCAAAATACTTAATCTTCAAACACAACTGATGGAACCATCAGATTTATCTCGTAGAAAGGCGTTTGAAATGTGTGTTGTCAAATTGTTTTGAACCAGTTTGGATTTGGACCAATTTATCCTTTGAGTCCTTCCTTTGGCTCCTGCTGGACCCCCACTTGCTGTTCATCTTGGGAACGAATAGTCAAACTGCAGCCACTATCACAGTGTAAATAAATCCCATCCATGTACAAGCTATGCGCTGTGTTCAAAAGCAGAAACTTCAAGGGTATTCTTACGATTCCAATTATTTCACCAATTTCCATAGGGGCTTTTGAATTGTAAGGCAACTTTGCAATCATTCTCTTAATACAATTTTCAAGAGTATTATTGACTGTTAATTTGATTCAGTTGCCATGGCTGCAAGCATTTGATATATTGCAGTTTGGCTGCAGACTGCACAATTACCGCTGCGCAGGACACTAGAACTCCTAGGGTTTGTCACAACTGCAGGAGACGAACAAGTCTCATCTGACAATCACAGGATTGAGGTGGGAGTGCTGTGTGAGACGTGCCGAGATGACTCAAATTAACCTTTGTCCTTCTTGAAGGAACAGAAACCTACGGGTCCCCGTTTACTTTACGATTTGGAGATTAATGACTTAGAAAAAGGCTCGTTCAACGTGTAATTGGGAAAATGATTCACGGAGTGCTGCTTATTAAAAACGTGATCCTGTGGAAATCAGTGAGCATTTATTGAAGTGGCTATTTTCTTTTCATTTTTTTAAAAAAAAGGAGATCTAGAATTGTAGCAACAATTTGCATCTATGTAGAACCTTTAACATAAAATAAATACCTGGAGGTTGTTCAGTACCTTTTACGTATAAAGTAAAGGGTTCAAAGCACTTTGAATAGAGACGTCTCCTTTTTGTGTTGGCTTCAAATTTTTCCAAATGCAAACACCGCAGAGTAAAACTGAGGCAGTTTTTTGCCTGTCTTGTAACATGGATCCAGAGATGGTGCTTTTCCTCTCGTTTATGCCCAGTCGTTGTTTGCTTGTCAAAGCAATTTTATGCAGGAAAAAGTGCCTCAGATTATCGCATTAAAAAAACCTGTGTATAAATCTGATGCGAGTCGCAATTTGCGCCGCTGAAACTCTTCTACCAAAGTTGCTTTGAGAAGCATGTTGACGTGATATAAATTCAAACGTATGTTCAACACTTCAGCTTCCACTGAGAAATGATCCCTTAATTCTTATCATTGAATTCTTCGATGAAGTAGCGGAGAGGGTTGATGAAGCTAGTGCAGTTGATGTTGTTTACGTGGACTTTCAAAAGGTGTTTGATTAATAATAATAATAATCCTTGCATTTGATAAAGTGCCTTTCACACCAGGACGATGTTTCAAAGCATTTCACAGGATTTACTGTAAAGTGGAATGACTGTGTTTTGCAGTTGAACATTGGGGGTGAGGATAGGTTCCACCTTTGGGCAATCTTTAACATTTAAACCCTAGATAACGCGGCACTCCTCGGCCTCTGGATTTACAATTGCTGTTCAAAATCATTCTCACCATCTCCCCACTCCTAATCTCTTCAACTGTTGGAAATGATGTCTCATCCCTTCCAGCAGCAGTCTGCACCGGGCATCAATAATCTCAACAGTAATTGCTCGAGTTTGAGAAGCAATAGGTTGAAAATTAACCTGACCTTGAATGACCGCCTTCAGGAAGGAAAAACAGATGGAAACTGATTATTTAATTATGTGCCCTTGATACACACAATGTATATTTTAATAGCTTTTGGCCTGCAAGCCCTTTTCAAACAGATGGTTAATCTAAAGTCCCCGATTATTAAATGTCCATCCAGACGTTGAGATATTCTCTTATTTTTAAACAATTCATCTTGCTCATCGGGTGGTTAATTTCCCAATCTTGGATGGTTTGAATCTTTACTTTCTCAAGTGTGTTCTGTTAACAGATTCAGAATCCTAGCATTTGATACAGCCCTTTTCACATTGAGAAGACGTCTCAAAGCGCTTCACAGGATTTACTGTAAAGCCTAGTAACTGTATTGATTTGTAGGTGAATGAGGCAGTCAATTTGCACACTGCAATATTGCACAAACAACTATGAAGTGAATGATCTTTGATGGATCTTCAAGTTGTGTCAAACTGAAGTCATTCCTACTCTGGCCTTCTCTATATTTAAAACAAAAGATGTTTGTAATGCATGATCTCGACCACTGGACCCATTAAAATATACAGGGGAATTTAATCTTGCCTTTCGAAAATGTGTGTCTGGACTTTTTATGGGAAAACTCTTCTACTGTTGACGCTCAGTGTGGCAACTGGTCACTCTGGATTGGATATTGGTTCAGACAGGTTGCAGACTAAATCTTTCTTCCCAAGTGAATCCCAGAATAACAGTTTCATTCAGTAGTCAATGAACACTGCCCAGAGTTTGGTAAGACATGTTTGGTATGTGAATTGCTGATGTTAACAATGTGGTGACTATGCAATGGAAACAGTTATCTGCTGACGCTCCCATTCGATGTATCTTCAATCTCTATTTGATTTGAATGATTGAGCTTCTCTGTATTAAACCACAACACACAAATCTTCACATCGGGCTCTGAAACCACGTGTTCTGTTTCTAAAACTGTCCGTAACGTTTCAGTTCCTATTTACTGAAACAATGCTTCTGTATTGTTTAAGATTAGACAATGTACAATAGGGTTTTTTGTTTGGAAAGCGTACAAAACTTCTGTATAAAGAATTAAAATTCAGTCAGTCTGTTGCTATGTAAACCCATTTGCCACTTGGCAAATGTTGGGTTATTTTGTGTTTTTTTTAAAAAAAAAATCTTTTTTAAGTTGGACATAATATAAAACTTATTATGGTTAGATTCTGGTTTATTTCTCTGAAAGCAGACAAGCAATCGCAAAGTACATCCAGTGCAAACTAATCTTTCTGTTCCACACGTTCGACCTGCAGTCAACCATTAAAATCAATCTTTGTCCTGCCTGTGCATGGTGCTACTTAACTGAGCACAATTTTCGATAATGTCTTTGTGTTTTAGTGCCGTGTTGTCGAATGTGCCTCATTGCTTAAGCCGATGTGTCAACAGACAGCAACAACCTTGAAAACGAACATAAATAACAGATTCAATGAGGATTTTTCTTCAGAGGGAAGAGCGGGTGTAAAGAGTAACTCAAATCATTTACAGGCTGTTGAACAGTTAATCCTAGATGTTACAATAGGAGATATCTGAAGCCTCATAAGTTCCTTAGTTTCAATGCTACTTGGTAGAGAGGGTCTGGAGGCAGACATTTTGATCGGAGCACCTTCTCTAAGATATCTTGGTATCTGTTTGTCCCTTTTTTTTCTCTCTCTCGCACTGTTCTAACCACTAGTTGTAAAAAACCTAAACTAGAGTTAAGGAAGACGTGCAGATGTTGCCCTTGAGAACATTTCAAGCAATTGAATAGAAAATGTTTTCAGTTTAATAATTTTAACTCCTGATCTGCTCACATAGTAACCTTTAATCCACAAAGATCAATTAAAATTGGGGGAAGTGCGGAGGAAGTGACACAGTCGGGAATTAAACTGCTTGAGCCCAGGTGTATTCCAATAACTGTTAATACCATACACACACTCTCAACTTATAGATCTTCACTTTGTGTATTTTTTTTAGCCAATTAAAGTGTGAATTATTGAAATAATTGCATTGAAAGGAAGACAGGAATAGCTTCCTCTTTGTACAAAGAGTTTGATTTTTTTTGTTGCTTTGACTCTGCTCTGGTATTTTGGAGCTGTAATGAAATTCAATTTGCCAGGTATTTGTGCGAGTCTATATATAGTTAATTGCTTGTTAACCCTAGACTCCTAAAGGCAGTTAGTTGTTTGAGAGGTTTCTTTGTAGTGTTACTTTATTTTTTGTTTTAAAAAAAAAAGTATGAATTCCACAGCAACTCTCTCTCTTCCCATCCACAACGACAAATCCTACTTTGTGTGTATCGGGCCCTTCACGTTGGAAAGATGTCCCAGGGCGCTGGACAATCAGAGGTTTGGGACCCGAGCTGGGAGTTGGGGGGGTCAGGAGTGGGTGGGGGTGGTCGAAAGCACGGTCGAAGGGGAAGATCTTTAGATGGGACTTCAATGGAGGTAAGAGAGGGGATGAGGCGGAAGGATTGCGGGATGGAGTTCCGGAATGTGAGGGCAGAGATGCTGAATGCCCGACCGCTAATGGTGGGGCGGGAAGTGCGGGGGACCTGGAGCAGGCTGGTGTCCGCTGAGCGGAGGGAGCGGGGGGGGGGGGGACAGGCTGATTATGGGGTTATCAATACAGATCAAATGCATCTCCCGTCAATCGGCGACTTGACTCGCATTCAGGCATTGCATAACCGGACTATTTTATTATATAGGTTGACATCAAATTTCCAGAGAGAAAGACTGATCTTTATGTGGTGTTTGGTAAAATGTAAAAAATCTTTTTTTGGGGGGGGGGGGCAGCGATGTTTGCAATACCCCACGCATTACATTAACATTGCATTACTTTTTGCAACCCATTAAAAAATGAAGGTAGCTTCTATAGCTTTCAGCAATATTTTATTAAGCTGCTAATTAATGATGGTCTTTCAGGATCTCTTTATTTTGTAGGAATCAGTAATTTGACTTCTATTCAATGTGTTTGATATACAGTACGGCTTAAATCGAGTAAGATCACTGTAGACAAGGGAAGAATCTTGGTACAAGTACAGGGTTTTTAATGTTTACTTCATTATTTTTAACCACTTCTGAGGTAGATGTGGTGAAAAAACATGACCAGCGTAGAAATGGAAGCAGACATATTCTTCGTCATTGTAGCTTTCATTCATCATTTCCCAGAGCCAAGCAGAGCTCTGCACTGGTGCAGCTAAGTGCAAAAATATTGCTTGGCTGACTAGTTGTTTGTTTAAACAAAAGCCTGTTTGTGCAACTGGCTCATAAGTAACGTGTGTGTGTGTGTATATATAACGGTCTCTGGTGGCTCAATGGAACAGAACCTGGATTGAGACCTGTAGCTTTCATTGATAACAGAGGGTGATATGAATCCAAGTGTAAAGCCCCTCTCCAATGTGTTTTCAGCAGCTCTGCTTCAGCACAAATCGCTTTTGCAATCGTGGCAATTGAAACCCAATTTACACCTTTTTTTTTAGTTTGCAGCAAGTTGCTTTGCAGAGTGATGCTTAAACAACATAGAGAAAAAGAACTTGGCCGTCTTCAGATAAGCGATGTTGTCTAATCTGATTCCCCAGTAAGATTCCCGAGTTACAAATTGGGACTTTTTCCAATAAAAGTATGTTTCTAGGTCACACTGACCCATGTGAATTCCACTATCTCATCAGAGCAGAATTCCCGTGGGTCAGTTCAGGCCATTTCCAGTTCTGATGCGGGAATCTCGTTAGAAATTACTGATTTTCAGATGCCAACGTACTGAGATTTAGAAATCTTCATTGCAGAATTTAAATAGCTTGTCTAATTGTAAATCGGGAGCAAAAGGATCATATAATACATAGTACCATAAAAAAATTAATCTGCAGTAAGTATAATAGTTCAAAGTGTAGGCGTACAATATGAGAATTGATACTTCATGCCATCATTTGACAAAATGGTTCTGATCAAGATGCTGTAAAACAAACTCGCATCCTGTGTTGGCAAAAGTTTGGCTTCTTAATCGCACAGACGAAACATTGGGGGTTGTTCTGGTGCTTACCGGCATGTACCAGCTCCCACCTGCAAGTTCAACATCATTAAATATTGCAAAAAAAAAGATCTGCTGCTGATAACAGCTTTAGAGTCAACTATTTTCCACAGAGCAGAGTTGCAGCAGCCTACCCACAGGCTGAAACTTCAGGAGTGAGTCACATAGACATTGCATCAGGTGGGGTCAGACCCAAGGCTTGGTATATTATGCCTTTACATAATGCGCAATGTTCTTTATCCACAGTGTGATTTTAGAGCTGATGGAAATCTTGAAATTTTGCAGTTCACCAACTTATCTGCAAAGACAAACCGTATATTGTAACCGCTCTCGGACCATATATAGAGACTCACTGTAGTTTGTTTATTAATAGCGTTTCCTAATTCTCACTCACCACACAACTCCTGGCAGGTTCTACACTTAGCTTTTTCTGAATAAAAAAACCATTGTATCCTCCTTAACTCGAGTATGTTCTTTTTTTTTCTGCCACTAGTATTGAAGGAGAATATGTGCCAATGGAAGGCGATGAGGTTTCTTACAAGGTCTGCAACATTCCTCCTAAAAACCAGAAGCTGCAGGCCGTGGAAGTGGTGATCACCCACCTCGCACCGGGATCGAAACACGAAACGTGGTCGGGTCATGTCTTCAGTTCCTAAAGATGCTGAGACGTCCTCTCCAGCAGAAGAGGAGCTTCATACGTTTCGACGTGAGCCAATACCCGAGTGAAATGTTTATGCTGTGTGCATTCTAACAGATTACTTGCAGAACTACAAACTGGTAATTTTTACAAAACTTTTAAGACCCTTCCCCTTACCCCGCCCAAGAATTGTGCTTTGAGCGATTCATTAGAGTAGTTGGTTGCATTTCCAATTACTTTACTGATAACACTTCCAGGAAATGCTGTCTCAGCCAGTGAATATAGGTGTGAAGCTTTCCATTGGGGATCCATGTTTCAGCATTTCGTTTCGTTTCTAGTCCCACCTGTAGAATGTGCAGCGTTTTGAGAAGGTGGGTAACTTGTTCCAAGACCTCTCCAAATCGATCACTAGAGGATTTGAGAGCAGTTTTGGGAATGACTTCCTCTAAATTCTCTCACCATTCCTTTATCCAGCCTCATTAATCCATTGAATACAATTCAAAGGATACAGAAGATAAAAATTCAAGGTATTAATCTCAGGTAGTGGGTTTTTGTGACTGCTGTGATATATTGCTTTGCCTTCTTGCTGTCGTACAGTATATAGTTACCCTTAAACCCTTGATGGGATTACTATCTAACGATCACATCCAGGTGATTTGTTACTCGGTATGCATTTGAGTAAACTGTGCCATGTGCATGAACTAAACTTTTCTCAACGCCTTCCCCCAATCAGTTTTATTTTAATTCTATCTTGTACATTCATGTTCACCATATTAAGAATCCCACTTTAACATTACTGATATGTGTAGTATTTTATACTTAATACCGTGCCCAAACTTTTTGGCATGTTGGTTTATGTAATGGGAGATCATCCATCGGGCTTGAATCGTTTTCTGAGCCTGTTACTAGCTGGCATTAAAAGGCAAGATTCTAGATAAAAAGATAAGGATTCGCTGAAACATATTGACTAACAGTTCTTGATTTGGTGTGCAGTATCAAAGATCAAGAGCAATCGATTTACTGTGGAAATGAATTTGAATATTTTCTTGATTATAGCCTTTTGAAACAATTAAAGTATGTGCATGAGGTTCACATTAACAGATAGTTTGACTAAGGTGGTAGTGTTTTTTTAACTGCACCACAAGAAGCATTATTCTGTGCCTTTCTCATTATCCTCATGTTGTGGGAAGAATATTTTAATTTGCAGGTCCCTCAGTGCCTTATTCTTCTGATAACACTACTGTCTTTTGAAGCCCCAGGCAAGCATGAATGCATTTTACCCTTTTGATAAATGACTGAAGTCATTGCTCTGTATTTACAGATCTATACACTTAATATACTTTAGCATGTGTTGTACGATTTAAAATCCACTACATTTACCAATTGTAATTAAGTTTTGAACCAACGTGTTAAAAGATCAGGAATAATGTGTAATGGAAATGTAATGTTTTGGGAATTTATTTTTCTGCCACTTTGAAGATCACAATTGTTTTTCAGATGGTAATTCAATCTGTAAGGATGGTCTGTGATAAATGTAATGCTGAAAACTTGTTGTGGGTGTGAATACAACTTAAGTGCATTTGAATAAAGGGGAAAATATGATCTGTTGTTTTATTTTTAGTGTACATATAATATATATATTTAAACTGGAATATTTAAAAAGTTGCTCGTTTCAGCCTTTGTCTGAAATAACATGGTTTTAAACCAGGTCATTATACAAACAATAGATATAAATAAAGATGTGAATGCAGGCATGGTGAACTACTCTATTACAGGTTGTTTTAATCTGTTGGAACAAAATGCACTTTATCCTGAGACGCACAGCGTAATTCAATTAGTGACATCTTGTGTAGGGGGAACATGCTGAGCAGGGTCCAGGTTTTATCCCTGGAGAGGTGAGTACAGCTCGCAAGTCAAAGTCTGCTGCTCTTGCTGACTGTTGGCAATGTCCCCAGATCATATCTACCCACCTGTGCATCAATACCCACAAAAGGAGAATGGAATAAAATGTAACTGATCACAGATCTGCTTTTCGGGTACTTTTCTTTTCGGTCACTCACTGTCAAAGACAGCAAATAACTACTTATCGTCATCTAATGCAACCAGAAATTCTGACAGCACTTAGGGTGTTTTTGACCTGTTGTTTGGAAGTACCCTTATGTACTAAAGTTCCTTATCAGCAATTCATCTTTGAGCACTTTCTTTTTATATAGTTTAACAGGACTGAACAGTTTATTGCAATGGTAACAGTATTATGGGCGGGCGGTAGAAATGAAATATTCTGGAAGCCTTGTAATCATTTCTGTATTTATTGAAACTATGGATTCATATAATGTTATCGGGGGGGGGGGAGAAAAAATCAGAATATTGGAATTTGACTAGAGTTCAGTAATGGTAATAATATCTATCAATCATTGACTGCCACGTTTAGCTCAGTCTAAGCAGAGTGAGCTTCTTGAAACAACAGTATAGGAAACGCCAGCCACCACCTTACTTGTAAACAACATACAGTAAAAACTCTTCCCATTTAGCAGATCAAGTCAAACATGGCATTTTACGATTGAATGTATCCTGAATAAAAAGTTTTCGGTGTCTTCAATTACAATGATGGCTGTCTTGGGTAACACAATATTCATTTTGTTTCTTTCATTTGACTGTCTCTGGAGATTATGCACAGTCGACTCCTGTCTTAACGCCTTTGTGTGTGTTTTTTTTTAAATCTTGCTTAGAAATCTCAGATCCAACTAAAATATTTTTCTAAAAATCATAACTTTTTTAAAAAATGAGAATCATTCAAGCGACTACGGCACAAGATTTTTTTTAAAAAAAATGTTACTTGTGGTGGTGGGGGGGAGAAAAGACTCACAGATTATCTGCATTGCAATGACCATAGCAGGTTTACAGAATCATGATGCATTTTAGTGAATCCAGTCACTTTGCTCTTGAGGCCCCACATTTAAAACATATCAGTATTATTAAGGACAAAGCAACATCTGAAACTGAATTCATCATTTTCTTTTAAAAGAGTGATGGTCCCAATTTTCTGAAAATGTGCACTTGATCATGGTGAAATATTAAGCATAGTTAATAAATGTACGTGAATGTGCTGAAGTTGGTCCAGGTAAAATTAATGCCGTTTTCAAACGACCCCTGCCCTGTTAACCTTTGCTCTATTATCCTAACAAAACACAGAACAATCTGGCGTGTTCTGCCTGTGGCATTTTGATTTCATATTTTCTTTGTGAGCTCACATTTCATTGATTTTTTTGCACAGTCATTCTATCAAATAACTTGTAACTTTCCAGCAGTTGCTATTAGAGTGACACCTGGACTATCTGCTGCAATGAATGCACAATTGATGTTGGTGTATTATGAAAATTCAACGGTCTGCTCCAGACTCCGGGCGGTGTCTCGGAGCGCTTAAGAATGGCAGAGTCCGAGGCCAAGCCAGGGGGGAGGGGGAAGGTGATCGTAGGCGCAGTCGAAGAGGGAGGTCTTCAGGTGCGACCTGAAGATGGGGAATGGTGGGGGCGAAGGGGTTGAGGGAGGGAGTTCCGAAGTTTCGGGACATAAAGGCACGGCTGCTGGTGGTGGAGTGGAGGATTCGGGGGACACGGGAGGAGGCTGGACCCAGTAGAGCGGAGGCAGTAGGTACTGCTGTGGGGAGAGGAGGTTAGCGAGGCAGGGGGGTGCCAAGGATTGGAGGGATTTAAACACTAGAGGATCTTGAAGTCGATCCGCTCTGTGACAGGAGCCAGTGGAGTTTGGCAAGGACTGGAGGAATCGGGGTACGAAGTTTGGTGTGGGTGAGAATGCGGTCGGCGGAGTTTTGAATGAGCTGAATTTTGTGAATAGCAGAGGGGAGACCAGCGAGGAGGCCGTTAAGAGTAGTCCAGCTGAGAGGTGACAAAGGCATCGACAAGGGTTTGGCAGCTTTTGGGGTGAGGTATTGTCGGAGACGGGCAATGTGGCGGAAGTGGAAGACGGCGGTGCTGGTCAGGGACCGGATGGGGGAAGGATAACTGGGGATCGAACCTGACACCTAAGTTGTGCAAGGGTTCAGAGAGGTTTAAGCACAAGTCAGGTAGGTTGAGGTCGGAACCCGTGGGACAAAAGATGTTGCCGGGAGCCAAAGAATATGGCTTCCGTCTTGTTGACGTTTAACTGCAGGAAATTTGTGCTCATCCAGCTCTTGATGTCTGACAGACAAGCTCATCGGGGGACTAGGGATCGCAGCTGGAGATGGAAAAGTACAGTTGAGTGTCATCCGCATACATATGGTAGTTAACCCCGTGACTGTGGATGACAGCACCGAGAGGGAGCATATAGATGAGGAAGAGAAGGGGGCCAAGGATGGATCCTTTGGGTACCCCGCAGGTGACCAGGTGGAAGCGAGAAGAAAAGCCGTTTGCAGAAATGTAGTGCTGGCGGTTTGTAAGGCAGGACTCAAACCAAGTCCCAACAGAGGGTACCTAATGGCATCTCAGGGCAGCTGAGGAAATCAAACAGATCAAGTCAGATTTTTAAATATATATTTCATGTGCAAATAAGATTTGATCCCTGGTGATCATAGATGAGTAATGTTTGCTACACTATTAAATTACGGTTTTGGAGAACACCATTGATTTTAGATTCAATCTTAGCCCAAACAAACTAGTGTGTATGTAAGACACCCATATCATTCGTTACAAAACCTAGCGAGACAGAAGCTGAGTGGTTTACACTTCTTTCTGCTTATCCACCACATTTCCTTACTCCACACAGAGCCTAATAATAATCCCTCCAAAACAAAACAATAAATTGGTCATTTTCAATTTACGACTGTTTGTGGGACATTGCTGTGCGCAATTGGCTGCCGCGTTCGCCCACAAATATACAGTCAATTCACTTTACAGTGTGTTCTGTGAAGCGCTTTGGGACGTCCTCCCGACGTGAAAAGCGCTATATCAAATGCAAGGATTATTATTATTATTATTAAACAGGAAGGAGAGTAATCTTTACATCAAAAACATTTGTTAATGAATTAGGTGAAACTGGCAAAATAAGTGAGTTCTCAGCACCTCCCAGAAAGTTGCTTGTGACATGGTTTTCAGAACGGCAGTCATGAGATTGCAGAGATATTTGAATTCATTCATTCAAGTACATTTCTTTCACTGTTCACCTTTGGTTTTGTCTACAGGAAACTGCTGTGTCTTGTAGCCATTTCATTGCCAATTTATTACTTTTTGGTGGGTCTCTGGAGTGTTGAAAAACATTTCCTCACAGATTCTCTTGGTCTCCTCTGCAGATCTCACTGAATGACCTATAATCCTTGGGTCACTGTAGATTTCGTAGTCATTTCCACCCTACGGAAAGCAAAGATAGGTTTAGGAAACAGACCTAAATAACTAGCGTTATTCAAACAGATGTACCTGTACTTATCTGAGAAAGATTTCTTCGTATAGGGACCCCGCAAATAATGAAGCACTAAATAGCTGATGTGGAAACCGGTTCATCACTTTCAATGCAAGGAGAATGGAAATGTCGACTCTTTTAAGGTATTCCGCTTGAGAATACGTAGAGGCTTATTCTGCCCCAGCATCAATTCAAAAAGGTGCAGATTTTATAGTGATTATCCTTTTGTAAGACTTTCCTATAGCATCTGTGAAGTAACCGGGTGATAAAAGATCTCCGAACTGAAAGAGATATGTCCGTTGGAATTTGCTTCCATAGTAGTCTGCCCAATCTCTATTTCCTATTATGGTTTGGCCGTTGGTATTCATCCCCTATGGCCAGTGCTCACTCAGATTGATCACTTCTTCTCAGGTTAATTTTCCTGTACGAAGAGCTGTTTTGGGATGGACTTTGCCCTAATTTATTTTTACTTCTTGACTTATTTGCAACTTCCTCGTCTCCTGTCAGTCGATGGTAGGAGAGCAGTGTTGGTGTTGCACAGGAAGAATACGTGAATCAGCTCCACCCAACTCCGTGGACTTTGTGCTTGCGGATCATTCCCGCGTATTTTACCAGGATTTATATATTAATATGGCAGCTGCTACAGTGCCTAAGTACACCATGTTTGTACAGTAAAATAGCAGTTTAGTTACACCTTGCAATACAGCCAACAGTGAGCAAAAATAAGATCCAATAACTATTCAGGTTATATTATGAAACCCTCTTCGAAAAAAAAAGGGCTTTGTTTAGCTGAAGTTTGTCATGGAGCTTTAGATTGAATCGTTGCTGTAATTTTTTCATATGCTTCCTGCTTCAACTTGTATTTCTACAACACCCTTCATATAGGGTAATGACTCAAAGAATACTTCACAGGTCAGTGTTGATGGTGAGAAAGAGATAGAGAAGGAGCAGGTGACTGTAGGTGTGATCAGAGAGGTAGTTTTTTTTAAGAGAAGGGGTGGAGGAGAGAGTTCCAAAGGGTGGGATGCAGTTACTGAACTGAACCTGAAATTCTACTCTTTTTGTAGATCAAGTTTTAATTATATACTGGGGAGCAGAACTTGTCATACACCCCTTTGTTTAATTACAGGTTTAAGTGGACAAAGATCAGACTTTAGTGTGAAGGTTTCTCTTTTGAGTAGAAGACGATAGAAATTGGTGTGAGGTTACAATTGGAATATAAATCTTAGAACTATCAAAAACTGGCAGTAAATTCAGATCAATTAATAGCAATCTGCACTTCTGTCGTGCTTTTCATATAGGGAGAACCTCTCAAAAAAGCTTTACGAAAGAGTGGAAGAGGGTAAGGGAAGATGGCTAACGGTGCTGTCAAAGAGATATATCTTTCGACAGATTATGAATGTTAACGAAGGATCTCAGCGTTTATTTTATTTTGGAAGAATGTTGTTGGAATAATTCATTTGTATTAACACATGGTAATCACAAACTACAGTGTAGCAAAATTTGCTTTAAAAGTCAGCTCTGAGTTTTCACTACTCACGGGACAGAGTGTAAAGAGCAGCTTAATATCTAACTGTGAATCACGTGTGCGATTTGAGTGTCTGACCACACAGCTATGGAATTTGCCCCTCAAAAATCTATTGTGAGTAGATAGGCTAACAGAATCCACAGGGCTATCTAAGCTATATCCCCATTGATACATAGGAGGAGCAAATTTCTAACATTTAGTACAAAAAAATGCTACAGAATATAGTTAATTTCAAGCTCTGGCTCATGATTAGCAATTCTCACATATAGTTCTTGTTTCATGTCATGAATCTGTTGGGAGCAAGCACCGGTGGTCACTTACCTCAAAGGTCTTGTCTCCGAAGAAATGGATAGACTTGAATTGTGCACTCTCAAGAAGTCCTAGACAGTAACGTTTATCCCATCCATCTGGAAACACGTCAAAGCTGATCTGTCCACCTGGAAATGAGATGAAAATTAAACAGGTCTAGTATTCCAATGATGGCATAACTAAATTCCTACCTCAGCACCCGTCCCGCCCGACCCTCACACACAACATAAATCTCTTGTGCCGTCAAGACTGGAGGCCTCCATCTAAGTCACTTGAGTCCTGTCTCGAGTTTTAGAACGTATTGATGTGTACCATCATAAAGTGGCAAGTACAAAGAATAACACAATTACCTATAGAAAACGTGAGACCCTTTCCTTCAAATTCCTTCTGTAACGCAGCCACAAATTTTTCTCTGATCTTTTCTTTCTGTTGTAAAAACAAAGCATGGATTACAGAACAGACTAAATATCCCAAAGACATTGAGCAGCTTGAAAGAACAATCGTTTAAATTAAAATAAAATGAACATCTTTATGGACTATTTCAAGTTACGTAAGTGAGTCGGTCATTTTCCAGTCCCAGTTGGGGAAGGTGGTTTCTCACTGCAGTGCTTGCTTAGCAAATTGGGCCGAACAGGAGTATTCTTTAAGCTATAAGGCAATCGAAGATTGTTGCAAAGCGTCTTGATGAGCAAAAATGCAAACTTTCACAGGAACATCAATAAAAATGGTTGCAATTTTTATTCAGATGGCTTTTTGGTATCTGGCAAGTTAGAATAATTATCTGTGTGTCTCATATTGCATTTATATTGTAACATCAAAACACCTGCAACGACCTCGCAATGGCACAATGACATTTACATTCTAAAATAAGTTCTATTACTTTAGTACCTTGTTCCATCCACTGGATGGCGAATTCAGAATCTGAGAACTATAACAGTTCAAAACTGAATCGGCAGTGTTGTATCAAAAATCTAATAACATTGTAGAAATGTACAAAGTGTGTTCCAATGCCACCAAGTGGAAGAAGCAAATAATGTAACGCAATAGCATTTATTCATATTGGTTTAGGGTCGGAAAGCACTATCTGGCTAGTCCCAAAGTACAAAAGATTAGAAACCATCCCTTATACTCAAAATATCCATTCTTTTAAACCCTAACAGTCCAGTTTGTGTAAGTTGCACGTTTCTTTTAGGCTGTAGATGGAATTTTTAGCTTAATACGGTTTCAATGCAAGGATTAAAAAGTACAACAGCTCATAATGCATGTACTTCATTAGAGACCCTGGTCATTGTTTTAATTTGGGACTCCTTGAGTTAAAATATGACAATCATACATTTCTCCCCCACATTTTTACCTTTTCAGACTACTGCTAAAAGTTGCTATTTAACTCACTTTGTCTAATTTGTGGAACTCAATGCGTTCTTCTTGGCTGCAACTTCTGCCAACAGGACTGATGTTCAGCATCCCACTACGGAATTCAATAAAGGTTCCCCTGTGAAAAAAGTACAATATTTATTTAGTCACTAACCATCAGTCACGTTTGGACTGTCACACATTTGAATGTAAGAAAATGAGATGCAGTGTGAACTGCATGCCACCATTCACATTTTGAATTTGTTTCAAGATTAATATTAAATAAATCTGAGAGCAATTCTTTAATTAAATTTGAAGTACACAAACACGCATCGTTAGACAATAGTTTGCAATGTGCCTGAATGAAACGATCCAGCTCGACATTGCACAATAAAGGAGGATAATTGCTGATCAATATGGCTGCAGGCGCAAGCAAAATTAATACAGTTAACCAATGTTCGAAGATATACTATAGAAAATTCATAGTTGCTGGCTGCATGAGTCAGTAAGATAGATGCTGAAATATTTCTGGCCTGGTGATTTGGCACAGAAGTCGTTGATGTCTACCATAATACTCCCTTGGCAAACAAACAATAAATCACAATCAAAGAAAGACATTCTCAATTAGACATCTATATATTATATTGAAATAAAAACACTGCAGAGTGCGCCAAGAAGATAACAGACGAGTTCGACATTTTGCTAATAAATGATGCTGGCCTCACATGTTGGGCTTCTGGTGTCATATCAATCCATCATTATGTTACGTCAGACACCATTAATATATCACTTGACAGCAAGCATATGCCACAGAAATCCTTTGTTCTAAAAAAAACGCTTCTTTGGTAAGCAACAGCAAATCATGAGTTCACTTGAAACACGGGTCTCACAAGCACTGAAAATAATTCTCTTCACAGTACACTGACACATGTGCTTCATAAATCAAAACTGCTTGACATTGAGTAACAATGGGATAGGTAAGTTATTCTCAACAACCATCAAATTATATAGAAGTGCATCAAAGGACCCAAGAATGCATAGTACCTTGTAATAAAATTGTGTTGTTTTGCTTTCATTCTAAAGGCAAATTGGAATTATAATCCTTTACCTTTTTCTAGGCAGTTTAATCTTGGCCATATAACTTAGAGAATAATTGATCAGGTCCTGCAGTATATCTTCACCAATATGTCTCTGAATGCTCTAAACAGACATGAAATCGATTGTAATATTTAACAAAAGAATATACAGTTATCAAATATATTTGAAATACCACATTCAAAATTTAGACATTCTTCCATATTACATTGGAGTTCAAAGCCGACAAAATACGCAATCACACTGCATGCAGCATGGGACTTGGACCTCGAGGACATCAAGGGGGTGGGCAGTTAAGCAGCTGCTGCTTAAACTCTGCACCTCCAACTGTTCGAGCTGCAGACAAGAAGGTGATGGCAATGCTCTCACGCATTTCATGCCAACCTGTATTGCCCACCAGGAAGCTTGCCGGGAGTTCCTGGTACCTACCACCCACCAGTGACGGCTCAAACACACTTGTTGGATGTGAAACAACAAACTAGTGACTATCTTCCTTACGTGGTGGTGGTGGGGGGGGGTGGATATCAGAATTCAGCTGAATTGGCTCCAAGGTGGCATGGCTGGCAATGGAATATCGGCATTCAGCCATCCTTCTGTGGCAAGTCGCCAGTACTCCAGGGCACTGCTGATGAACAGCACAGCCAACCTGACTCACCAACAGGACATAGATCAGAGGCACTCATACATATCCATCCTGCAGTATAATAAATCAGTAACTACAATTCAAAACATATTGAGGTACGTTCAAAATAACAAAGGTATATTGTTTTTTAAAGGACATTCCATTGAATTTTACTTTTGAAACTTACCTGCTTAGCCCAAAACACTCCTTCCTTATATGCAACTAAGCCATTTTCAGCAAATACATAATCATATCTTGAGAGGACTGAAAATAAACAGAGCCGGCTTTTAGAATTGAAGGAAAGCACAATTTTCATTTGCTTAAGAATAAATCTGAGTGAAACTTACAAAAACAGTAATTCTGACAAGAAGTTGTGCAGTTCTTCTGGAAGCCTAGTTTTCTTTTCAGTTTTGTTAAGGGTTTAAAAACTATCCCTGTAATTTTTTTTAAAAAGTAGTTTACTTTATATTGCTTGGCTATTACATAGCATAGAATTTATTCACAAAACAAAACTATTTATAATAAATAGTGATCCTTGCATTTGAAATAGCACATTATCACGCCATTGAGACGTCTCTAAGCGCTTCATATGATATACTGTAAAGTGGATTGTCGGTCTATTTTATGGGCGAAGTGTGGCAGGGAATTGCGCACAGCAATGTCCCATAGACAGCCATGGAATGAGTGACCAATTTTATTTGGGTGATTGTTGGCCAGGACACCGGGAGAGAGAAACTCCCTTCTCTTTTCAAATAGTGCTATGGGATCTTTAACATCCACCCGAGAAGGCAAATGGGAACTTGGTTTAAGGTCTCATCTGAAGGACATTCCAAGTCCCGATTGGGGGGGGAGGGTGGCGTTTAAAATCGTTGGCATTTGCGACAATTTATAACATTTTAATACACAAAAGCGAAAGCAATCTACACACTACACCACAGCCAGTGAATAGAAAATGCCTTTTCAAAAAATGTACGTGTAGGTAACATATTTGTCACTATACGGTTTGTCATGGACCTTGACTCATTGGTAAGTGCACATCGAGTGTCTTTGGCTTATACACTGACTATGTAACTCAAAGTGAGATAATTTTAGTTACTTATGAAATCATAAATGGTGGTTATCAACTCTTCAGTCAGTGCTGGGGGAAGAGCTTAATCATTATCCCTGTTACGACTGTATATATTCAGAACTCGCTGCCCTTGTTCTGAGTGGTTACTTCACGCCACAACGCCATCGTTCATGCAGCCCATTGGTTCACTGCACTTTACAAACGTGGCAGCTGCAGATACCCGGAACCCGCAGTAACATGAGGTTCAGTTGTTCCTTGGATCTTGCCCGGCGTATCTTGATGCAAAGTTAGGGCCGTGTGTGCGAAGTTCGTTCTGAGTGACCGTGACGGTAGACCGGTCGGTGTCCTCGCGCCGGTCGCTCACACTCACCATCGTCTCCCAACTGCTCTTTAACTTTATCGAAATCAGAACCGCTCACAACTCCAATTTTCAATCTCCCCTTTAAATGTTTTAAGAATCCGTTCATCTCAGAGGTGACTTTCTAAACATCCACCGTGAAGGGGGTGGGGGAGTGGGTGGGGGGGGGGGGGGGGGGTTGGTGAAGGGAGAGGGGGGATTGGGGAGAAGAGATGAGGAGAAAGGAGAAAGAGAGAGATGGAAACATATGGAAACAAGTCAAGTCTAAGTCTAAATAATTAGACTTTGTAATAAATGTTAGAAATTATGGGGGGGGGTCGTGCAGCAACGGTGTGTGTGTGAGTGTTTTATTCCCCCCCCCACCCCCTCCCACACACACTTTATGGAGTGCACAGCTATATCCAACCTCTGCGGACTGGGCCTCCAGGGGCTTCTCAAGGAACTTTTAAACACACATTGGAGAATGTTCTGCTCACAGACTGACCCCCACCCGCTCCGCCCGGCGAGTGTTCACCTCAACCCCCTCCCGCCATTCCTCCCACCCCCCCCCGGTCCACCTTCCCTCCCTCCCTCCCTCCTTACCTGTCGGGCCTCGGTGAGGGTCCCATCCACATCAAACAGACACAAGGTGCTGTTGTACCTCGTCGCCATTGTTGCTTGTGTTGTTGCCGTCGTCTTCCGTCGTCGTGGTCGTCGCCCCGCGCCGCCGGGTCCTCCAGCTTCCCGGCGTGCATCAGCCGCCGCCGCCGCCGCCGCGCGGGATCACGGGAAGTGTAGTGTAGTGTGAGCGCAGTGTAGTCCCGCGGCCGCCGCTCGCGGGCTCTGAGTCCTCCAGCTTCCCGGCGTGCATCAGCCGCCGCCGCGCGGGATCACGGGAAGTGTAGTGTGTAGTGTAGTGCATTGTAGTCCCGCCGCCGCCGCCGCCGCTCGCGGGCTCCGAGTCCTCCAGCTTCCCGGCGTGCCTCACTGTGCCGCACCGGCGGGAACGCTGGCCGGCCAACGTTTCCAGGGCAACGGCCCCGCCGACCGACCGACCGACCGACTGGAGAGGACATCATTGTACGATTCAAACCGTAAACACGAACCAACCCCCCCCCCAAAAAAAAAATGAACCCCCAAGAGATTGTGTTTGCGGGGGAGGGGTTTCTCCCTCTTCCTCATCGTAATGCAGTCAAAAAGCGGTGGCGTTAAGTGAGTGGGCGGTGATGGCGGCGGCGGGCGGGCGCTGTGAGGCCTTACCTGTCCCGATTAGATCCCCCTCCAAACGGCAAAGGATTGACTTATACATGTGGGTGAGTGTTGCAGATATATAAATACGTACGTACATAAATCAATAAAGCAATAAAAAAAATTATAAACACACACACACATATATATAAACAAAGAAACCCGCTACTGTCCGAGTGGCCGGAGTCACGGCACAATGTGGCGTCGTTTTTTTTTTAAAAAAAAACGGCGGGACTTTTTTGCCGCCAAAATAAACAACAACAACAACAACAACAACAGGTCGGAAGAGGTTTGTTGGTGACGCGGTTCCCCCCCATTCTTCCCCCCGACGGTAGAGTTTGAGGGTAACACAGGTCTATTTCCGCCCTCCACCACCACCACCAACACCATCCCGGAAGGGTTTGGGTGTGACACACCGCCCCTGTGTCTGTCTGTCTGTCTGTCTGTCTCCCTCCCACCCGGAGACAATGTGGCGGCTTCTGCTCCAGGTACGTGTGTGTGTGTGTGTGTGTGAGTGTGAGGCTAAACCTCTCCCCCACTTTCCTAAAGCCCCTCCAGGCGATGCTCAGCTCAGCTCAGGGCTTTCTCTTTACAACAACAACAACATTATACGTGTAAAGCGCCTTTCACGTCGGGAGGGACGTCCCACGGTCCTGGACAGACCAGAGTTTTGGGGACCCCGAGCTGGGGGTCCGGGTGGGGGGAGGGAGGGCGGGGGGGAGGGAGGGAGGGTGGGGGGGAGGGCGGAGGGTGGGGGGGAGGGCGGAGGGTGGGGGGGAGGGAGGGTGGGGGGGGGGCGGCAGATTTCCAGCATCTGCGGTCATTTGCATTTTGTAAAACATTTGTCAATTCGCTTCACGGTCTATTCTGCGAATCGCTACGAGGCGTCTCGACGTACTGAGGCGCTTTATCAAACGCAAGGATTATTATTATTATTATTATTACAAACCCTATGTCAGCCTGGCTGAGGTGGCAGCACTCTCGCCGTCCAGGCGGAAGGTTGCGGGTTCAAGCCCCACGTTCGATCCGTATCAAGCTCCCTCACTGTCAAGCGCTTAATACCTTCCGGAACTAGGTAAGCGGGACGTAGCAAGTCAGTTATGGCAGAAAGCTAATTCCTTGTGATATTGTGCCGCCTGCTGTACAGTTCGGAGTTAGAATTAATTACTGGACTATAAATTTTCAAATCATTGCAGATTTAGACTTTTTTTCTTTTGTTCAGGCAGCGGCTATCAAGAACACACCCAGCTTTAGTAAGCTAACTCTTCATTCAAGATGTCCATCATGTTTCTGTGTTGGGAAAACCCAAAGAAAGGCAGTTACGGTCAGTTGGCTCAGATCGTGCTCTTTGCTACGTTTTGAAAAAACAGTTGAGTTCCCTGGCAATTTAATGAGAGAACACGCTGCAAAAAGACTACATACACAATACAGACATCTGTTTCCAGCAAGCCAGAAGCATCCAACGCATCCAAACCTACAGTTTACAGACAATGAACTCTTTATAATGATATATAAGTTCCGGGGGATAAGATTCCTTAGAGCTGTGTCTCGTCTAAAATTAATTCAGACTGGTATCACTGTGGCTCTCCTACCCACTGTTTATTATTTTTATCTAAAGGGACAGCTTCCATATTCGATGGTCAATTATACCACTGGAATAGCGAGTTTTGCTATTGTTATGCTTTATTCTTTAAGTTACTATTTCAGACATTTTATTGGTATGATGTACCTGAATGAATCGGGCACCACGCTGAAGGTTTCGCATCTGACTTTTTGGGGGAAGAGGAATGACTTTTATATCCCAGTAAAAGATGTCTTGACACTTGGAGATACTGGAGATGCAACAAATGAGACTATCCTACAACTCAGACAATACAATAGCACGGAAGTTTTCTACTTTACAGTTGCCTTTGGTCAAGTTGTTGATGAACAAAAATTCATACACGTCTTTGGTGGAATTCCATGATAAAAAGATTACACTTATCGGCCTTGTTGCTATGATGATTGATTAACTTATAGAATAAGATATGTTGTATGAATTTGAGGAGCTCCCGAGCTTTGTAGAAATTTTATTAAAATGACAGCTATATACAGTGGTTTTAATTGTTTTATTTATAATAATAATCCTTGCATTTGATATAGCGCTTTTCATGTCTTCCAGATGTCTCAAAGCGCTTCATAGAATATACTATAAAGTGAATTGACTGTATATTTGTGGGCAAAACGCGGCAGCCAATTGCGCACAGCAATGTCCCACAAACAGTCGTGGATTGAGTGACCAAATAATTATTTTTTTTAAGGATTTTTATCCCTGGAAAAGCCATCCACGAATCGACTAACAACCAGGTTCCTACACGTCTGTTAGAGCAGAATGACTAAACCTCAGTTATAAATTAAAGAGACTTATTACACTTTTCAAAGTTTGGGGTGGAGACAATGTTTTTGGGCAGTTTCTTGTGTATAATAATGAATATTTGCTGGGTTTCTTGTATCATTGAATCTACTTAAATTGTACAGTATTTTCAAACTATGTTGCCTGAAGATTTGAAAACTAGTTATGGGGTAAACATATGCAGTCACTGCACTTTACAGTATATGGTGCGAAGCGCTTTGAGGCGTCTCAAAGTTGTGATACAGCGCTAAATCAAATGCAAGGTTTATTATTATGGGGTCAATTTTTTTTTGGCCTTTTCAAAAAAAGGAAAATCTTTTTCCTCCTCCCATCTTCAGGTCCTTTTGCTAACGCCTCTTCCCAAGGAGAGACGGCCAATGTATCTGTTTCCAAACCTCCAGTCAGCGCTGCTTTGACGCTTGCTAACAGAGGAGAGCTGTTCGTAATGCTGCTCTGGAATCTGCGACGAGGACAGAGTCATGGTCAAGTTTCGATGACGCAATAAGGCGCTTTATAGTCTCTAAAAAATGGCTTTTTGTTGGTGCATTTGTGCTACAGTTCACTCACTGTGGCCATAAATCTTAAGACGATTCTACACTGATTTGATGTCGTTTCCAGGGTAAAGCCTACCTAGAAGTGATCTTATGTTGTGTTCGGACCGAGGTGGGAGCATAGATACACTTGCAATCCAACCTTCTGTGTGAGGACCATGTTTCCAGTATGAATAGGCTTACCAATCTTACTCAATCATTTTCATTCACTCTGTGGTCTGTCTAACAATATGTGCCCGTCCGTTAAAATAAATGAGTTAAATCTCAAAAACACTCCATGCAATATTTTAATGAAAATAAAGTACTGTGTACAATGCATTTGTGGGTCACCTTTTGAAAATACGACATTAGTTGAAATTGACCAGGTTTATTTCAGAATATAGGTGCCTATGGCGACTGGAATTATACACAATAATTCATACACATGATAACTGACCAAGCTTAAAACAATATTTTAGTAGAGCAGTCAAAGTTGCTGGCTATTTGGCATATCAAGTCCACAATAGGTTTTAAAATGAAAGCTGATTCCATTATTTTATAAGCCGTTATGTAGTATTAATTCTTTTTAGAACAGATCACAGATACTCTATATATAGTAACATAATGAATCTCCATTGATTGTGCAATCTGCTTGTGATACAAAATGTCAGTAAAAATTACAAAAATACCAGGATAAGTACGAAACAGAAGCTACATAAATTAACTCAATTTACACAATTACATCAATGACGCTGGAGAATGGGACACTGGAGAATCAATGACACTGGAGAATAAGACACCCATTTCTTATTATTAGTTTGGAATTTAACATTAAATGAGTAAAATGTTACACAGTGGTAGTTTGAGGTGAAACATCATTAATTATCAATTTAAATACTTGTGGAAATAGTGAATGTTAATGCTGAGGAAGTCATTTTTTTAATATAAGGTAACGTGATTCCTATTTACGGAACACTAGGATTATGAAGGTTTGGACCATCACACACCGTCTTTTCTAATGTCCTTCATTTGAAGTCGGCCAGAATATCATTGAAAAGGTTAAGGAAGAGATGTGCGTGGTGCTCCTGAAACACCAAGGCAGGACGGAAGCGGATGGACTTATCTCCGCAGCCACCAAGTACAACACCTAAATGGGAGAAGAGCAAAATATTATTTTTTTAAAAATTGTGCTCACGGTTCATTGCTACAACAGAAAGATTCAGCAGATTTCCTATCAAATCAAGATACCAATAATTACATTTGCAAAGGATGCAGCAATTAAGATTCTCTAAACTTTGAACCCTAGCTGCAGAACATACTGAATTGTCCACAGTTTGCTTCTCGGGTGAAGTAAAATTGATTTGTTTTATCTTTTGCCCTGGCTAAGCTTACCTTTGTTCCGCATTTTCAGGACAAGTTTATTCCTGGATGCTTCATCTGGTGCATCTACCGAGCAGAATGTCCCTTTTCCTCTGGTTTTGCTCAGGACGTGTGGATAGCGGGCCTTATAAGCAAAGCACATTTTGTTAAGTCATCTATATTTTCCAGCCAAAGAAGTACTGGTAGTATCACAGGACTTTTCTGAGCAACTGTTTCGTTTTGCATTGCCCCCAGGTCTAAGCAGTCAGTCTAATTACTTTGAATGCTCTATATATTGAAAAGCGTTTCATACGATGTTGAAGTTAAGTTGTTTTGGGACGTCTCCTGACCTGAAAGGCACTACACAAGCGCTCGTGGACACGTGCATGAAAGGCGCAATACAAATGCAAGTTTTTGTTGTCGTAATTTGTTGTTAAGTGGCTCGTGATTACACTATTCCTTCCTCCCTTCCATAGACACCACAGGCTATATCAAAAATGGGGAAAAGATTTTGAGGACAACCTGACTCTTGGTCTCTAAATTGTTGGTCAACGGGTTGAAGAGCGACACTCTTCAGTTGGGAAGCACTGAAACTCTGTTTGGAACCTCCAAAAATAATGCAGTTTGGTTTGAATACCCTACTTGGTACTTTGGTAATTGGTAGTTTGTAGAAATCCCGAGCAGTCTTGGTAACAATTTTAAATTGCTCCAGAGGAAGTGAAATGAATTTGAACCTATTTCTGTCTAACAGCGTTCTACACGTTTTACCTCAATGTTCGAAGAAACGCATGTAAAATAGCACAAGTCTTAATTATGGTTTTTGCTGATAGTTTTTTTTTAGAAAAGAAAACCTTTTCCAGGTGAAAAACGTATAATTTTACCTGTAAATCTAGAAGTCCATTTAACAGGATTTTGCCCGATCGGTTGACGTTATCTATGAGATTTTCAGCCCTGATAACTTTAAGTACTTCAGAGAGCAGGAGGTTTTTTGAAGGGTCACCCAGCCATGTGTTGAAAATCCTATAGCCCTGAAACAGATCACAATGGACACACCATCAAAGGGATATCAGTTATAATACTGAAAGACTCTATAGCAACAATACTTTCGGCTTTTAGAGCAGGAATGCCTGTACTGAATATCAACAGGGAATGAAAATAATTTTTACTGTTAGATTTTACAGGTATACAGTTGCATATAATTGCAGATTAATCAGTCCCATCCCTTTCCAAATAGTGCCATGGGTTCTATAATGCTCCCTCTAAACCAGGTTTAACATCTCTTCTGAAAAATAAATTATATTTAAGATATATGTAGAAATACTCATTTATTACATGTCACTGTAGCTTCTGTTGTGATCTACCAGATAAAGGAAGAATTTGAATGTGAAGATATACTGCAGGTCAAGTTTTGAAGACCAATAAAAATATGAGAAATCATTTGAATTAGACTAGTTTAATGACATTGCTTCACGAGCTTCACCACCCACCCACCCTGTTATATTTGAATTTCTTGAATTTCTATATTCTCTAGAATATAGAAGAATGAGAGGTGATCTTATAGAAACCTACAAGATTATTAAGGGGCACGACAGAATAGACAGTGGGAGACTTTTTCCCCTGGTTGGAGAAACTATAACCAGGGGTCACAGTCTTAAAATTAGGGGTAAGCCGTTTTGCACTGAGTTGAGGAAAAACTTCTTCACTCAGAGGGTAGTGAATTTATGGAATTCTCTACCCCAAAGGGCTGTAGATGCTCAGTCCTTGAACATATTCAAGAATGGGATTGATTCTTGTGGGTAAAGGGATTAAGGATATGGGGATAAGGCGGGTAGTTGGAGGTAGAATAGATCAGCCATGATCTTATTGAATGGCGGGGCGGGCTAGAGGGGCCAAATGGTCTACTCCTGCTCCTATTTCTTATGTTCATGCTTCAATTCATAACTGAAACTACTGTAAAATATTTAACAATAAGGACTAGGAACAACAGCAGTGGTGTGTGCAAAATGTTACCCCCTTTTAAATGAATGCTCTCAGTGGTCACTGCAATATACACAGGGTTATGTTATAATGTCACCAATACTCACCCCAATGGGTCTCAGCACATCCTTGTAGAAGTAACCTCCAGATAGCAGCTTCTTACTGAAGGTGACAATGTCAGCTGGATCATCCAGACCCCAATGTTCGTGTGCCCAGAACTTGCCGGTTCCGCCTCCTCCCGTTTGCACTTCGTCACACACGAATGCTGTGCCATGCTGAGTGAGCAGGTGCAGGTGCACAAGGAAGGATTAGGATAAGGACAAAAAGCCAGACTTTCATACGTTTGTGGCAATGATAAAGATAATGCGACAAAGGGTCATGCTAAGCTGATCTGCAAATTGCAGGGATTAAGCAGCAGGACAACAAAATGGGAGGCATAAAGTGAAAGAAATACACCATCAGTGTAAGTAACATATATTACGGAGGCAAGGAGGCCTATGTTTTCTAGTGGGTAGATTCTTAATTATCCTGGGGGCACAAAACTTTCTAAAACGGGGCTGTATCCAACTTCCAGGGGGTGTGAAAGACAAACTTCATTTATTGAGCTAAAATTCATCGTTTTCTGCTCAGTTTCAATTTGAAACTCACATTTTTTTGGAAATGTTTGTTTCATTCACAAAGCAAAAAAATGTTTGTTTCATTCACAGGAAGCTGATCTTCCTCTAGATTCTATAATGTAATTTATATCATGTGCTTTCTCAAGGTTTGTATAAATAGCCAACAATAATTGCAGGAAGTGTTTTCCAATCCGATTTAAGTGCTTTATGTGGGACACTGCCAGCCAGAACAATAGACGCCACTGATGAGGAAACCAATAAAATGTAATCTGTCTTTAACAGTTAGTCTGTTTGTTCACTGACAACAACAGTGACAGAATAGAGGCACTGATACAAATTTAAGTGTGCATAGTACAGCTATGCAAAATGTCACAAGAACCTTTCCCAAGGTATTTAAATGGTCAGTTAATCCGATTTCTGAAAACTTTTAAACAGGACAGCACATAAATCAGACAACAAATGTTCTAATGTTTAATTAGAACATCTGTTGTCTGATTCATGCACTGCCCAGTTTAGCAAGCCAGATTTTGTTTCAAAAGTGTGAACCTCCGAGGGCTAATGTGTAGCGTCTCAATGCTGTTATAATAATTGCTGTTGTTAAGCACTTCAGCTGGTCTAGTTCATGGACAAGACCCACAACTTTATGTTCTTAAAACTTCAAAGCGTTCCACAGCTCTGTTTCATCCCCTGCTGCAATGTGACACAACTGAACTTTTACCGAAATATGTATTGGTTTTGCAAGTTTCAGATTCTCAGAGGAACTTTTGGAAAAGTTACAAATCATAGGGCTAATCAGAAATGACATCTAAATGAGCCAGGATCAAAACAGTTTCGGTAGATTTGGGAAACCTTTGAAAGAATTTTCCCCACTGACAGCTCAAAAGCCATATCCTTGGAGGAAGACACTGTCTTTCTGTTGCAGGCAGGGGTAACCCTCAAATGTCCCCACGGTCACTGCTAGAAAAATCCACAATAGGAAGAGACCAACGACTAATTGTTTTTGTGACATTTTGAATCATTCGTTTGATTACCTAACATGGATTAAACTAACCAGATGTGGTTGGCTGCTGATTTGCACAGCTTGGTCCGCAACTGGTTTACCTTCAACAATTGTACCAAATTAAATGAACGTTAAATATTTAACACGGCTTGAAAGTTGGATTGGTCTGTGGTAAAAGCGCTGAGGTAAAATCGTACATGTTTGGAAATTTCGAATGTGAGGTGTGTGATACAGCGCTTATTAATGTCAGGGCTGTCAATTGAAAACAGAAGATACACGACTGTAATCAACAACGTGCACTTTTCATGTCTCAAGGATTATGTCTCAAGCATTTCAAGGAGTGGGAGCCTTCAGCAGGTGATTGAAGCACAGTCAAAGAGGGACGTTTTTAGAAGGGTTTTAACCACAGAGAGGGAGGGAGGTAGAGAGACTTTGAGAGAATCTCCTGGGAGAAAGTACAATATGGACAATCGCTGATCCCAAATGTAACTCCACCCCACCCCCCACCCCCCCATGTTTCTTTGTCACCAAAGAGTCAGATAGGTGTGGCATTCCCATTGCTTTACTTAACAGTTTCCAGTTCCAGCCACTGAGAATCTGTTTACCGCTTCCGAAGTGGATAATCTCTCCTTTTGGTGAAGGGGAAGAGAAGGCAGTCTAGCTTCTCCAGGTCCCGTTGATGAACTAGGCTAGGCGGGCTGGTCAGTCAATGGTTCCCTAGACTCCTGTGGAGTTATTAGATGGTATTTACACAAATTAAGAACTGCCAGTGTTCAATGCTCCATTCTACTTACACCCCAGAACATCCATTGAATGGAATTTACCTTCTTGCTAATGTCCCGCAGCTTCCTGAAGAACTCATTGGAGGCATGGTTATCTCCTCCCTCGGATTGGATTGGCTCAACGATAATCGCCGCCACGTTCTTCCCTCGCTTCCTGTACTTCACGATCAGATCCTCCACCTGTGATGGGAAAGGGCACAGAACACAATAACAGAACAACTCCAAAACACACATACACACATTAGTACAAAATGCTTATTGGTATATGTTGATATTGGTAATAACCCTGTGATTCAAAAGGCATTTGTAAATGTCAAATCCCTGGATGTGTTGTGGTCAACCATGGAAGTACATGCAGACATTGACTTCGTAGAAATTGGAATGGAGCGGGGCAACTGAGTGGATTTCACAAGATCACAAGATTGGTTTGGATAATCCAATCTCATCCTTCCTGAACACCCATTCTTTATCACCCCCCCCCCCCCCCCCACCCCTTATCACAGCATCAAGCTGTTTTTTAAATACGTCCAACGTCCTGTTGTCTACAACCTTTCCTGGCAACTTGTTGATTCCCTTCCAAGTAAAGAAAACTTCCTACTAATTGGTATTGAAATGATTCCAGGAGCTGCGGTATAACCGGGATTCACTGTTTACTTCAGTCTTCAGTAACATCCCATCTTCTTGCAGTTATCAGGGCCAAACCCATAAGCAGACATTGTCTGTGAATCCAACCAATTACTTTTACTGCTGTGAACCAGGACAAAACTGCTTTTCAACAAACCTTTCCCACAGAATTGTCCAGCAGTATCATTTATCAGTGACATAGGCTTTCTTACAGCTGAATTAATAGAGGTCAAAGGCTCTATTAAATCTAAATAGAAGCCCACAATTCCCAAATATATAAATCAGCTTCCAACAGTAATACATTGAGCAAAACATAGCTGACCTACAAATGCTGAACCCAATGAACATAAATGACTTTCATGTAGTCAAACAGTCATAAGAATTGAGTTTAAGATCCATGTCTTTGCCTTCAAATCCCCAGCCAATCTACGCAATCATCTCCAGACTGTGTCCTCCAGTGAGGCTACTTTGGTCTATTCCTTACTCCACATTCCCTTCACTTCACCTTCAGCCACTGCGAGTCTCCAGCCACGATGCCCCTGTCCCCTGGACCTAATTTCACAACCACTTTGCCTCGCCTCCTCTTTCCCCGGCTTCAAAAATCTCCTAAAATATAGCCCTTTTTTGACTATTACTTCAGGTCAGTATCTCTAAATCTGTTATATGCCTTATTTGATGTCCACCACTGCATTTGTCAAGTGCTTTGATGCCTCTTTCTACATGAGAAGCACAATATAAATTCAAGTTGTATTTCTGAGGAATCTGAAGTGTAGTACAAAACTGAAATCTACCTCCTCCAGGCACCTGTTTTCTTCCTGTGTGTTCTCCTTCTCAAACTCGTCCAGAGGATATTTAAGCTTTGGAAATGGAGCCATGGGCCAGTCAAAGGTTGGGATGTCTAATTTGTGGATGGCCTTGGAGTGGGTTGTTGCCAAACAGCCTGGAAATGCAGAAACACAAGGGATACATGATTCAGGACGCACCAGTACATTAGCTCTAGATTTGAGTAAATCTTTTAAAAACTACATTTTCTCTATGCTTATGTTTTCTCGGAAGTACAGTAATGAACAAAATTAGTTTGAGACCATGGTAACATGGTTGAAAGCACTGCCTAAATAAATCACGTTCATTGCAGTATAATTGAGTGTACGGCACTGGTATACTTCACATGTTACAATACATAATTTTGTTGGGGAAAAAATTATAAATCCCATTCATTACAAAATGCAGTTCTCTTAGTCTTCCCAGGATTTTCGTTTTAACAGAAGTTCATTCTGCAAGGTTCTTCACAAAGATATAAGGGGACAGCGGACCACATTTGTAAATTGTATGTTAACTTTAAGACGAAAAATGTTCCTCTCACCAAAGGTTCTTCCGTGAAAACCACCCATGAAGGACAGAATAGTTAGGTCGGGGCTTCCAGGGTTCTAAAGGAAGAAGAAATAATATATAACATCACTAGATGGCGGACTTTTATAATAAACCTGAATATGCAGCACTGTACTTGTTTTTTTAAATCTCTACCTTCAAATAAATGGATTTTAAGGTCCCCGAGAGTGTTTTTCTGCCATTCTTAAAAAGAACCGGTTTCCAAGTTAGGGCTGGACATAAGAACGTTCCATTCTTACGTGCAACAATCTTCAATTTTAAGATGAAACGGTCTTAACAAAGACTAGGACAAGGTGTAAGTTTGGGCCTGAGGTCTACTTAAAGAATCGTAGCACTTACCTGGTTGATCATGCAAGATTCCAATTCCTCCTTTGTAGGTTCAGTGGTTCCCCTCTCTTTGTTCTACAGGTAAAGAAACAGCAGCGACTTACTTGGTACTCAAGCCTTCTTTTTGGATTAAAATACTTATTAACGGATTCTGTTATTGCTTAAAATGGATTAAACCTGAGCAGGTAGCGTAGGCCAGTGCACCAGCACCGGCAGCTTTGTGGATCTTTATTTATGAAACTTTGCAACCTTCATCTTACAGGAAAGTCATTATATAAGTCAATGTTCAAGGCGCGATTTAAGACCCTCCTATTCCACCGTGCCTTCAGCCACCCTCCTAACTCTCTGCCCTCCCTCATCCCAATCCTGCCCACCTCCACCACACCCTTCGGTCCTGATCCCCGACTGTTCAGGGCCTTGGGACGTCCTCCTGACGTGAAAGGCGCTTTACAAATGTAATTTTGTTGTTTAAGAGAAATATTGATGGATACACAAGGGAGAATGGAAGAGAAAGAGAGAAGGGAAGAGAGGGGTGAGGAAAAAGAGAATAGGAAGGAGTGGGGGACTTGTCTGGAGTAGAAACACTGGCATAGACTAGTTGGGCTGAATGGCCTGTTTCTGTTTGGTATGATTCTATGTCTTCAGATTGCCCTGAAATGTATAGACAAATGTATTTTACTTACTCGGTACCAGATACAGGCTGCTTTGAAGGCATTCTCATTAGCACAAGAGCCGCACGCCATCGTCTGAACCTGCCTCAAACCTTTCGGGGCCACCTGATTCAGGACAAAATCACAGAGCGGTGACGGTGATGGTTCTTACTTGTCACGAGGGCACAAACGAGCAACAGGTTAGCAGATTGGTTGATAAAAGTGTTAGAAGGGCTTTGTCGACCCATTTCTACAACCATGCTCATTGTGTGAAGGGTACCATATTCATGCAAGTTGTTCTGTTGTTGACACTAAATGCACGTCAGCCAGGCACAGACATGCTAATGTTCATTCAGTTCCCGTGAAAGACAGGAGAGAGTGGCGGGGAGGCAACTGACTGATTGAACTTTACAAGCCCTGCGAGCTGAGCGGTCTCACATTTCACAACTTGAGTCGTTACAGCAATTCTGCAACTGATGTTTCAGCACATGTTATATACTAAAGCAAAGTGCTTGGCAGCAGGTGATGTTGAAGATCTGTTTTCTTAGAAGTTATATCTATGTGCTTTGGGATTCAGAAAAATAAGTAACACTGTGCTGCAAGTCATAGCCTTAGATTTTGATTATATAAATTCATCATTCGATTATAAATGAAATAGGATATCCACAAATAATTCCTGGACACCGAGGTTTTGGTCTAATATGGATAATATTTACCAAGATGTAGATCCATTATACCACTGCGAGAAATTTGGAGGTTACAGTGGCTCCTGGACACGTTTCAATTTAGATTTGCTAGACTTGAATGAGGTAGGTCTATCGTGTGTGGATGGCATTAGTCTTTTCTGGTGCTGTATAAATACTGTGCTCTTAAGCTTTACAGAAGGGGAAATTGATCAGAATGGGATTCCTGCTTTGACTAATTCAATTTTGTTTCATGCAACTTGGGATTCTTGAAGACTAGAGGATGAACTTACCGAAAGCAGAGTCTCATTGAGGTTTTGAGGGAAGGATTCGGGAGGCAAGCACCCCAGGGCAGGTCTGTTCACGAAGGTACTCTGTGATAAAACAGAACATAAAATATAGTAGGAGCATTTTCAGCAAAGGATGGCAGCCTTAATGGTACTGTGATACAAATAATTGTAGTCTCAAGTGGTAGTTTGAGATATTGATTGAAATAGATCTTATGGTTCTATAATTATCCAACAGGAACTTGATTTTCATCTCAAGTGCACATCAGAGCTTATTCCATATCAATTACGTATTTCGCCCACAAAACATACGGTCAATTCACTTCACAGTATGTTCTGTGAAGTTCTTTGAGACGTCTAGAAGACGTGATAAGGCGCTGTATCAAATATAAGGAATCAAATGCAAAGATTATATTCATAATCTTGATTCACAATGAAGACTATGCAAGTGTACATTTTAGTATGACTGTACGTGCGGTCACTGTGATGTCTTCCAGCTGGACTATGAGCTTATCCTAAAGAATGTGCAGAATACGTGAATGAAAGCAATTAAAAGGTACAGTACAAACAAATTTATTCTAGATTCTAGTGCAGGAAATATTGTTTCTTCAAATACTTGGTTAGTTTCAATTGCACATTGTTGTGCATTTCAGTTCAACAAACTCCATTTTTATGATACAAAACAAACTGTTTACAAGCTAAAACCCCATGGATGCCAGTGCGGCATTAAACCATGGAGTAGGATTCCCACACCAGGAAAAAAAATGAACCCGATACTACAAAGTGTAAACCCGGAATACTTTAGGATGCACCAAGACAGTAGAAGATGATATAGGTTTAGAATTGCAAAGGACAGATACCAAGAAGAAACCTTGTTTCTTCAAATACCTTTATCCTGAGGGTGACTAATGACTGGAACAGGTTGCTGGGAAGGGTGGTTGAAGTCAGTGCACTGGACTCATTTGAAAAACAGCTTGATGCTGTGATGGGAGGATGGTAGGTAGGGTGGTATTCTGGAAGGATGAGATCAAATGGGCCGAAGGGCCTGCTTCATCCAAACTGATGTGACTTTGCGAAAATATTCACTTTATATGACATTTGATTTGTTCGCGACTAGCTTGGAGTCATCAAAGTACAAACGAATGTATTTTGTGATAAACAGCTAATTCTGCGATAAAATCGGATTCTAAAATCCCTGAAGCCAGAGAAAACGCACTGAGTGAAGTCCATTGCAGGTGATATTTGGCGTTTTAAGTTCTACAACATGTCAAACAAGCACATAAACAAGCAAAAAATATTTCTGGCAACTTTTAAACAACCGTTTTCAGCTTTGGACACATTTTCCAATCTTGCCAAAGGCAAATCTGTTGCTGTGTGTCAGCTTCCTCTTTTATAGGGTCAGTGAGACTGAGAAAGAGAAAATTATACAGGAATTAAAGTTCAGTTCATAATGAAACATTTTGAATGAAAAAGAATTAACAACAGGATCTTGAAAGTCTAAAGAGTTGCAATTTTGAGAAAACTTATTGGGACAGATGTTCGAAGTGTTGAGTATAAAGCCGTTCAGGACAGTTCTCTGGCAGGAACTGTGAACATCCGCTGCCAAGTTGCATAACTTGACTCAGTGGATCTTGGTTTTTAACCGAGGGTATTTTAACTTGGGAGCAGGGATACATATGGTGACTCTTAACTCCGCAAGCCAATTGATTCTGTGCTATAACTACAATAATAAGCTTCTTAAACAACAGGATAGCTTTGCCATTGCAACATTAGTCCCAAGGGGCTCAACAAAGACAAACAATTTTGAAACAAAAACATTTGGAAAAAAAACTTTATATCTTCTTGCCCCGCCATCACTTTTGCTTCCTGTTATATACGTTTGTGGTTGTATTCTTTTTGTTTTACTATATCTACCCACTCGCTCTTTCTTTACTCTTACTTCTGTTTAAATATTAAAAACATTCACTTACCTTCCTTCTTCTTTCTTCCCCCAAAAAGAAACATATTTGCATTGGATGCAAAACGCTTCCCAAACTAGCTTTTGCAGTCAATTTCATATATATATATATATATCAACCAATGAAAAGTCCCGAACTATGTCAAGAGATGTGAGCAGGTATATCAGCCGTGGCTGTGTTCACACAAGCACAGTAAGCGGGTGTGGCAAATGAGTAACCTTATGGTGACCAACCAGAAATCATACAGAAGATCACGATTTCTTGTGTCATTTTCTCTACATGAGCTAAATTAGGCTGAGTGTCCTGTTTAGCACACATAGTCACAACGTGGCTACAAGGTCTTGCTTTTGTTCTGTCTTTGGGTAAAAGGCAAAAACGCAGAGGACTGTAGCAATGGGAACAATGTTCGGAGGCATGGGGGCAAATTGCTAGTTGTTCTCAATGAAAAACTGTATGGTTGGTTGGTTACAGACTGACAACGCGTCCAAAGAGGTAGACTTTATTTCCGAACATTACTCAGAAATATCACAGAAAAGCTCATGGTCTACTACAATACTATTTAGTTGTGTGTGTGTGGTAATGGTATGAAATATTTACAATAATGCAAAAATGCAAGGATTATTAGTAAACCTTTGCGAGGCCTCATTTATATTGTCCTGCATCCTTAATCGCTTGCTGCACTGGTTGTAAATAAATTGGTGATTAATTCACAGTCTTCGGGACAATCTTGTAATAACATAATCCAAGATCTATCAAAGAACATTTTCTTTCTGTGCCTCCACAGATAATCTTCCATCTCCAGTTTGTTGGAGCCACTCCAGGGTCTCATTACTTTATTGGAGGAAGAGAGCGACACTGATGAAGTCCGCATTATGCTCGGCAAAAGGAGAACACACATCACAGACCCAGAGGATACAAGATCAGGGACCTGGACCCTACATTGGCAGGATTGTCCACAGGGCCATCTCTGAATTCTGTCACACAAGCACAATCGATCTACCGAGAGAGGCTAAGGGACGTCGCCACAGCTACAATGTGCTGGCCCTGGTATACTGGGGGAGGACGCTCACCCGCTTTGTCAGGCCATTCAAAGTGCCCGCCACTCAGTGCAGTCCGGACGCACAGTGACGTAACAGTGCCCAGCGTTAACGCAAATTGGGCTGGGGCGCCATTGGCAGAGGTTGGTGGGTTCTCTAGTTAATCTGCTCACCATGCTCGAGAGAGAAACCATCAACCCTCCTCCTCCTCCACGCAGCTCCGCGATGCTGTCAGAGTTCCCTTGAGTCCTCTGTAAGCCAGTCTGCAGGGGTTGTAGGGCCAGCAGCAAGTTCTCTATGGCTGATGTCCCATCAAAATCTAGAGTGTGACCCTGTGGACGATCCTTCGAATGACGGTCATCCCCACGCTTGGCAAGCAGTCCCTTTGCAGAATCTGTAAACAGAACAGATGTACATGATTTTAGGGCATGGAAGAATTGCTGTGACGTAATAGTCTAGAATACATGCGTTAAACGGCACTGCTTTAGTTGCTCGTTTTATTTGTACCCACTTTAATCCTTAGAGCACCGGCACGTATTCCAGTTGTGTGTGTGTATGATCCCTTCTGTGGTGTGTTTGCACCCTCCTACCCCCTGGCAAGAAAACTGTGTCAGTGTTTAATGTGGGACTTTCAACCCTACCTGCGAAATCTGCCTGTCAGGGTCAATGGAAGTCAATGGAATTGATTACTCTGCCCCCCACTCCCCGCTCTCCCCACCCCAAAGCAAAACAAAAAGTATTCCCGCCCTCCAACATGGACGGTGGAGCTAGAAAAGGGAAGGGAAGAAAGACAAGAGCGCAGATTTGGAAAGTTAGAAATGAAACAAAGGTTATAGAGGTTACTATGACAACTCCCCGCTTGTCGGCCTTCCCAACTCTTCCCTCCAAAAGCTGGAGATCATCCAGAACTCTGCAGCTCTCCCGCACCAGTCTCCGTGATCCTATCGCCCTCACCCGGCTCCACTGGCTCCTCATCCCTCAAAGGATAGAGCTCAAACTCCTCGTGATTGCCTTCAAATGCTGACCCCATTTCAACCTGTCCTCTCCCTCCGCTCAGCAGGCTCCGGCGTGCTCCACTTTACCAGCCCCAGCCCGCCCCACCAAACGGTTGGGCCTGCAGCCTCTCTGCCCCCACCCTTTGGAACTCCATCCCACATTCCCTTCACCTCGCTCCCTCCCTCGTCTCCTTCACGTCGCATCTCAAGACCCTCCTCTTCGGCCATCCTCCTACTCCTACCCTTCCTGCCCTCCACCCCCATGATCCCAACCCCCTGCTCAGGTCCAAGCGCCTAGGTTCGTCCTCCTGCCGTGAACTGTAATTTATTGTTCTCGTTACAATAGACAGAAAAAAGCGTTAAGAAAAGAAAGATTAGAAAATACAAAGAGAAAAAAAAGGGGGTGTTTGGCAGCGTAATTAATTTATTAATTAAATTAATGAATTAAAATCCTCAAACTCATGATGCTGGAATAAGGTTATTATTAGTAATAAAGCTTCCCTGATGGTTGAGCAACTAACTATATTTTGTATTATTAGTTTTATTCCCCCTCCAGAATAACAGTGTGTGAACTGAAAATGTACAGAACTGGTTGGCCCACAGAATCTTTAAAGTGGAACTGCCGGCAATCTAAGGATTACTGTGAACAGAAGTGCTTCTAAACTTCAAACATCATAAAGACGCACGTGAATTTATTTATATAGTGTTTGCTATATATCATCTACTTCACTGAATAACACAGCGATGACATTAACTACCACTTTGGAGTACATTGTTTTTAAGTGCAGTATATGAAAGATTGTTATTTACCTGTGATATTTTACATGGTTATTTTGAGTAAAAGGTTTGTGTTTTAGCATTTCTTTGTCCAGTGTCTTCTTTTCTGTTCCAAGCCAGTTCTCATTCCCATTTCAGTTATAGATTGGAAACCCGCAGAATGTTGCCCGTTCACCCTCCTTTGGGGCAATTTCTTACAGTTTCTCGAATCTTCCATCACATTTCTCTTTTTTTTTTGTCCTCTGGGGTTCTGCTGTGTCAGTACTATATTCACACAGAGGGTGCCTCGCCAGGTGCAAGTAGAAACAATCAAACTGTTTCGCCATAAAAACTGTTGCATTTGCAACCTCTTCCTAAGTGTCTAATCAGAACAATCCAATTATATCGTATTTGGACAAAGCAGCAATGTTGGGAGAAAATGCTTTGTGGCGGCTCATAATGCATTGATTATGCTTAGATATAGGCAAATACATCATATATACATATTATACGTATAAATATATATAGTGCAATGTATTTCCTTTATGTCTGTGGGACGTGATGTAACTGGTTTGACTGGGACTTATTATAGTTCTGGTCGAAGGGTTTTAATATATCAAAACATATAGAATTACATATAACAGATTTTGAATCGCTGATTCACTGATGTAAATCACTCACTCACCGATGCGTTGATCCTCTACTGGCATGTGTAGAATGGCATTTGCGACAGATGATAGCATCTTTAACGCTTACATTGCATTTTCTGACTGGGTGGAGACGTCCCAAATCTACCCTAATGCCTTCTATTGTGTACTTTTGCACTGTTGCACACTAAATCAGAAACATACAAGGATGGATATTTCTCTCTTCCCACCATTCCCATAACGAGCAGCTAGACTGGTTTATATTTTACAATTGATCGCACACCGGAAAAAAATTGTATTCAGTCTTTAATTTGTATGTAAATAAATAAACAAAACAACTAAATACATAAACAAATCAACAAATAAATAATAATAAATATAGATAAATATAAATAAAATTATGTTGAGCCATTGAAAAAAATTAGAAAAAATGCAACATTGTTAGTGTGTTAGTGGACTCGGTCACAGGTACGGAAGAATGCAGGTTTTAATAGGCCCAATTTTCCAAACTGTGAGATCCTAGTTTCAGCTGCGCTGCCACAGAGAGAGGAGAGGACATGTGCTTCCCTACAGAGAGCGAATGGAAGAAGTAGAGATACCCGAGGCAACTATCGCAACTTGTACAAGAGGCAGGTGCTTGTGCCAATGCCATCTGCTTGTGCCGATTCACAGTAATGGAAGGGTGTCCAGTAAACTGGAGACGTGTAGCAAAGCAAATTCAAACATTATAATAAATAAATAAAGGAATAAATAATGTACTAAGTTCCCCACACTTACCACATTGTGTGGATTCTGTAACACTTTGATCAGCGCAGGATGATTGTAACCTAAATATAACAAAACATTACATAAAAAAACACACATTAGCATTTGGATTGAAATTCAGTCTGTAGGGGGTAAAATTGTGTCACAAGTAACCTTAGGCACCTGTGGACAGCTGGATCTTTTGTTTGTCTGTATCTCACAGTCCCGCATCCAGTTATACTCTTTGCATTTGACATGGTGCCTCATCACATTGTTCAAACATCTCAGGATTTACTGTACAGTATCGTGGACCATGTAATTGTAGGGGAACATTTCAGGAGAAGACCTAAAGTTGGCACATGGATATACTGCAGTATCTAATGGTAGTTTTAGGAGTGTAGGCCATGACTTATTTTAATCACTTATTTCAGTTGTGGATGTAGCAAATTATTAATATCATATCCAACCATTTGTTAAATTTTTCTATCGTTTAACATATTGTCCAGAACGCCATTAGGCTTTGAATAACAGCTGATCAATATGCAATTTAAGCAACAAAAAAACAAACAGATCAATTTGTCAGCCAGAGAGCTTGTTCTGCTGAACAGTCAGACGCACAGAATGATCGTACTCATTCATATTACGTTTTAGGCATCTGCAGTCCAAACGCCAGCTTCTTTCTCAGTTGTGGGATGTTTCTTATGGTGAGTGTGAACAACAAGAACCTGCATATTTATATATAGCATCTTTCACGTATGATAGCATCTTGGAGGGGGGGTGGGGTGAAGTCTTTATCCATTTTTTTTCTCCTTCAAGGAGATTCCATGATCGAGAGAGTAACCTGGTGACTTACTTCAGTACGCTGTCTGAAAGTGGGCTGCAGTGGCCTTGGGTGATCCTAGTGTGCCTTTCCTGTGACCTCCACAGAGATGCTTTCCTGAGGTTAGAACTCATCAGATGAGGTTAGAACTCATCATGGAGTAATCCGCGCATCTTAAATGCTGCCTCCCGCCACTCCGCAGGTCAGATTGTCATGAGTTTGATGCACTGACTGCCCATGCTGGGTTCTGTATGAAACCTATGCACTGCTTCTGTTCAGTTCAGTCTATCTAAGCGCTGAAGTCCCATTACCCTGCTCCAAATCACGCTCAAATAGACCTGTTATTCCCCTATCAGCATTGCGACATTCTGTTAATGGCTTCAGCTATGAATACATTTTAGAATTTGAGTGAAAGTCTCCTCCACTTTTAAAAGCAGCGTGTTGCTGTGATTGGGGGACACGGCATTGATATTACTTACTGTCCTTCCTGAGTGCTGTTTAATATTCCCCTCATATCGATCCTTTTACTCCCTGACTTGAGTCACAGGGAAGTTCAATCCTTATCACACTGCACAGACATCTATAGCTTTCTGTCAATGCTGATTAAAGGTCTTCTGAATAAAAAAAATCAAGTGTTGCGATCTACTGACAGATCCAATCACCTTGATAGAATCTGTGAGAGGTTTAATGAATGGTTCAGAAATCTTTTGAGTTTCAGAGATAATGGAACGATTTGACATCTGAAAATTTAATTACAGATGATATTAACAGGCCCTACACCTAAAGGTACTGTTTACCCCAATACTCATTTAGACCTTTTGTTGCATTGCAATTTGCAGTACTATTGTATCAGCACCCGATTAGACAGAACAAATGCAAGACACAGCACTAAGGAGTTCAGATTACACTAAGAACAAAACCCATTGTTCTTTCTCTCTCTCTCTATCTCTTTCTCACACACACAATGACTATTTTAGGGCAATGTTGCAAATGCATGCAGTAAAAATAAACCAGAAGCCTTGCCACAACATGCCTTCAGACTACACCAAACCAGTAGAACAAGATGATCATAGGTTTAGAGTTGCAAAAAGGACAATTTCAGGACAGACACCAGGAAGTTTTTCTTGACCCAGAGGCTAATTAAATGGCTCAGCAACCAGGACTAATCTTAATGCGTATCTGCAATGTAATTGATTACTGAGAAAGTGTTTCCTATTTAATACAAATTGACATGGGCATTCCGGCTTCACGGAAGACAACTCGGCAGAGAAGGTTAAATGGACGAGAAAAACAACTGATTTTGCACACGTTCAGCACTCTGCTTGTGTCCTGTAGGCAGGTGACACGCTAGAACTTCAAGTGCACTCGACAGTAAGGTTTCTGTTGAATAATGCTGCCTGCTCTGCCGAAACAGAAGCAGACTTCAGGATTTCCTCTTTTGAAGAACAGAAACTGCATGCATTAAGACGTCGTCCCTTACCAATAGGAATGGAAGCGATCTGTGTGTAAAGATCAAGCATTCTGTTGCCATCCACGTCCACCAGGTAGTTCCCTTGGCTTTCCTCATAATTGCAAAAGAATTGGACCGCTTCTGTGTTCTGGACAGAAACAGATAGAAACCTGATTTTGTGAAGAACGATTTTGTTTTGGTCAGTCAGGTGTCTGACACATGCGGCAACCCATCACCATGTTTAAGACGAAGAGTATCTGAACCAAACAAGTGTGCGATGTGCCTCAACTTCGCCTGGAAATTAAAGATAACATTCCCAGGTTTTGAAATTCACCACCATTCTCTATGCAAAGCTTTTCAAGAGAATTATGAATTAATTTCACAGGCTGGCTGCTAGAGTAGGACATGTAAGACTGAAATAATCAGCAAGCAACTCATTGGGCATAGTTTGAAACTACAGTACCTACAAATAACATGACACCATATCATTTGGCAACACAGAAACAAAACACTGATCTTTCTGGTGAATATTGTAAAAGTAGCTTTGGAACAAGTTGCAGCTTCAAGTCCAACTTCATCAACATCAAGACTTAAAAGTCTTAATCTAGGCAGATACTCTAGAATACTAAGGTGTCCCATCTTTCTACTAAGCTGTTAAACAATAAACTTTGAATTTGGTGAAAATTTAGTGGTTTCCCTACATCACAATCTGAAGGGACTCATTGAGTGATGTGCGTTGAGGCATTATAATGTGTTAAGTCCCTATATCGAATTGCCAGCTTTATTTTAAGTATATTATGCCATATGTAAATGCTTTTCATTATTGTAGTGTGGAAATGTGACCATGAGGTTTTTAGGTATAAACAGAGTTCATTCCAACGTACGAGGTTGAGGATTTTGTCCTGAATGAGCACTGCTATCTCGATAAGTTTACTGAGGTCAATAAATGTTTTCTTGTTATTGTGGGTTCACATCGGGACTGGAACTCACATAGTCTAAGATGACACTCCAAAGCAGTATTGCATTGTCAGAGATGTCGGTCCTTCACATGAGATGTTAGACTGAGATCCTTTCTGCCTGTTCAGGTGGTGGATGTTAAAAATCTCATGGCACTATTCGAAAAGAGAAGGGAGTTTTTTTCTGGGAGAGCTGGTCGACAATTCCCCCAAATAGAAGCTGGTCATTAGTTTCATAGCTGTGTGCGGGACACTGCTGTGCGCAATTGTGCTGACGCATTTGCTTACCAACGCACAGTTATTCCGTTTCACAGTAAATCCTGTGGAGTGCTTTGAGACATCTTTTTGATGCAAGGATTATTATTATTATTATTTGCGTTGTTGCTCAGGCTCAGGGACTTATCACAGTGGCAGAATTTGGCTCACTCAGCCCAGACAGGGCACCAAAAGAGTACGAAAGCAAGCGTCTTCTAATTTTATTTTTCAAAAGGGCTGCAGACTATATTACGAACCTTCTGCAGCAATTCTAAACTGTTACGAACTTGGAATTTCAGTCAAACTCCAAGGGTAGCTTTTTGCAAGGGTCAAACACATACATTACAAGTGTACCTCAAGTGAATCATTGAATCGCAAGACAGAAATCTCAGCAATATCAGACCTACTTCTATTTGCTATTTCTTCTGATTTTCTAATTTCTATTTCAGCAGTTTTGGTTTCCTTTTCATTTTGACCTCCATTGTTTCCACACCTTCTTTTGCTCCCTTCTTGCTTCTCTGAAACTACTTATGCACCTATGCATAGAATTATTTGCCTGTACCTGGAATGGATGCACCCTGTTTACCGAATGCTCGGGACGATTTGGCATACATTGGCGCAATGGGTGTATGTGTAGGTGGAATTGTCAGTTCACTCTGGTTAACATAGTGTAAGATTTAGCAGCTCACCTGTAATTCAGTCAGATCTTTGAGCAACTCCTGCGAATAAACAGAGGCGCAAAATAAGTCAAAGGAAACAGACACCACCTTGCTAAAAAGAGCACATCTTTTTGAATTATGTACAGTCCAGAATTCAAAATAATAAAATAAGGAGGTCGACTTGATCCACTGTAAAGTTATCTGTACAAATTGGGAACTGTTTTCTTAGCTGAGAGGCTCTCTAGTCATTGTCGGCTAGTGACAAGTCATTAGAGGATTCCACTTGAAGAGGTTTATACTCTCAAAAGTTTTGTTGCGATTTTAAAATGAAATACAAAATTGTATGTTCACATCCTACACGAAAGAATTTGCGGATGACTTTCTAATGCTGTCACCCTGGGCCAGGTTAATAAACATCACTTGCAATCAGTATAGACTCTTATTATGTCGAAATTTCTGAAAGCATTTCACACAATATGCTACTTTGAAGTGCAGTAACTGTTACATCTGACAGCAAAACTATATCATGAATGTTGCACAAACTACAATCAGATGAAGGAAGACAACTGGAAGTTCTACCAACTGGGCCAACCTGACACGCTTACTGTTTAATATTGGAAAATGTACTTCATACAACATGGATCCTTCTTACAATTAGGTGTGCATCTTAAATTGCTGTTTTTTAAAAAAAATAAACCGCGATGAATCAAAGTGGTGACAATTAACATTCGACAGACTGACTGGCCCATCATAGAGACGCACGCCTTTGGAGAAATGGTTTAGAAAACAAATCTAGTGCTGTGAATAATCGTTTTTTCTTTGTTCTCCCACAAAATACAGTCACTCTCTTGACATTAAGTCGTGCGAAGCACTTCGGGATGTTCTCCTGATGTGCAAGGCGCTTTCCCAAATGCAAGGATCGTGAGCTGCAACAATTGAAACATTCACGAGCATTTGTCCATAAAGCCCTTTGAGATGTTTCGGCAAATGGACACAGCGCTATGTTATTGTTAGTATCACTGTACGGTTTCAGGTCACTTGTCATCGTCATACCCGAGATCGTGGGCCCGGCACTTCGGTTTTCATCGAAGGTCCCTCAATCCCAACATCCACATCAGTCTTGTTCGCTGGTTGACTGACATATCGGCACCCTTGGCAAAGCAAAATAAATAATGGTTATTTTGATGTTATTGTAGTATTCCGATGGTATCGATTCAAACGGTTGACCACATGACAAACATAACATACCGTTTCACACTTCAAAGAACTCCACCTATCAGTAATAATTCCTTCAAAAATAATAATGATAATAAATTGGTCACTCAATCCACGACTGTTTGTGGGACACTGCTGTGCGCTATTGGCTGCCACGTTTCGACCACAAAATACACAGTCAATTCATTTTATAGTATATTCTGTGAAGCGCTTTGAACGTCTCGAAGACGTGATCAGGCGCTATGTCAAATACAAGGATTATTATTATGATTATTTTCTGCCCCCTTCCTCCTTGTTGGGGTGATGGGCAAAAAGGTTGTCAATAAATAGTGGGGGGTTTTGATCCTTTCAGTAATGACAGGATTTCCTTGAGTTCATGTAGTTTCTATGTGTACAGTATATAAAGCATCTTCTCTTAAAACACTTCAAGGGTCATGGGCGAGGTTCATATAAATTTACTTACATAATAAATAATGCAACTGCAAATAAAGATTGTGAGTGAACGAATGTGAACTATTAAAACAGCACAGCAAAAGTCAAAGTGCAGATGAAGTGCTGAATCAACAGTGTTTGCACAACAAACTGTAACAAGACCTCAATCACAAGCAAAGCCAAGGAGAAAGGGACTTACGACTGACGAGACTTATAACGGTTTGCAAGTCACAAAACAGAAACAGATTGAAACCGCTTGAGCTTTTTTGGCAACTTCTGCTGATGAGATTTGATTATTTAAATTCTGCTTTTCAGGTGGGGTGCTCTTTCACAAATGTGTCAAATTCAATCATTTTAAAACATATCAAAAAAAGATTTGGGGTACAAATGGTCAGAGTCATTTCGCTTTAAACCTTCAATCCCCTTATAATAATAATAATAATAATCCTTGTATTTGATATAGCGGCTTTTCACGTCGGGAGGACGTCCCAAAGCGCTTCGCAGAACACACTGTAAAGTGAATTGACTGTATATTTGTGGGCGAACGCGGCAGCCAATTGCGCACAGCAATGTCCCACAAACAGTTGTAGATTGAAAATGACCAATTTATTATTGTTTTTGGTTTTGGAGGGATTATTATTAGGCTCTGTGTGGAGTAAGGAAACTTGCCCAAGGTTTCGCCCTCTGCCTGGAACTGAACTCAGGTCTCTCGCTTGCAAAGCGAGTGCTCTAACCACTGAGCTACAGGACTCCACTCCTTCAATCCCCTTGTAGAGACATTCAAGAAATCGATGGGCCATGGATGGAAATAAAGGTTGTAGGGGTGAAAGGGCAATGTGCTAGTTTGCTGACTCTACCCAGTTCCTTCCTTAATAGGTTTCAAATTTATTTGATTGATTGGCACAATTCAAAACGCAACACGGCAATATAATGATAACAGGAACTGTATCAGGACACCATAACAAGATAAGCCACTGCCATCGGTTTACTATCCAGTTGGATAGTAACCAAAAAGGTTAATTGCTACGAGTTTGGTAGTTCAAAGTCTTTATTCTCATAATCTTTAAACTACTAAACCACCACTGTCTCACACCGCAGGCTGCTGAGAGACCCATCTCAAGACCTTCCTCTTCGACCGTGCTTTCGATCACCCTCCTTCCCCACCTTGCCCTCCGCCCTCCCTGATCCCGAACCCCAGCTCGGGTCCGAAACTCTGACTGTTCAGTGACTTGGGACGTCCGCTTGACATGAAAGGCGTGTAATTTTGTTGCTGCTGTTGTTATTCTGGGAACCCTCAGACAACTGGTTCAAACTTTGTTGCTTTGACTAGTAATAGCTGAAACAAGTGTTCAAACTCAGAATTCTAGACAGTTCGCACAGCTAAGCCATTCGGCCCAGCCTGATGTACCAACTTTGTCAAATAGCTGTCCATTTAGTCCCTCTCCCTCTGCCTTTTCCCCATGACCTTTAATCGCAAGACCGGTCTGGATGAGGAAGCCCATCTGATCTCATCCCTCCAGAACGCTCATACGTTTCCTTTGTAAATAGCTGTCTTGATTCCATTTCTCTTCACATTTTTCAGGTGTTAAATTGCCCCGACTTGGGACCTCATTCGGAAATCGAATATTTCCTACATTAACTCCATAATGAGCAAGAGATCTCAAACAGAACAGAGTATTGAATCTCACTATAGGGAGGAACCATTATTAACACTGATGTTTCTTTCTACTTATTAGCCGCTCCCCTTTGTACTCTCGTCAATGCCAAGTGAGCTCAGTTATTTCAGATCGCCAGAGGGTGATGTTCCAGCTTTGTAGCCAGCAGCATTCACCACATTTAGCAATCAGAGCAGAATATCGCTTCGCAAACGAGAGGATCTGGGTTCAATTCCCGGCAGGGCGAAACGTTGGGCAAATATCCTTACTCTACCCGTCTCTGTTTAGCAGTAAGTAGGAACCCGATTGGCGGATCACTTTTCCGGGGGATAATAATACCTTAAAACATAATAATAAAATAATAATAATTTGATCATTTAATCCACGACTGTTTGTGGGACGCTGCTGTGTACAATTGGCTGCTGCGTTTAGCCCACAAAATATACAGTCAATTCAATTTACAGTATATTCTGTGAAGCGCTTTGAGATGTCTCGAAGACGCGATAAGGCGCTATATCAAATGTAAGGATTATTATTATTATAACCTGAAAAGGAGAAAGAAGGAACAAAGTTCAAGCACTACTAGAAGCTAACAATATCAATTTTTATAATGAAATTAAGGAAATGACTTTTTTTTCTAAAATTCATGAACAAAAAATTAAATAACCAAAACTCCATTGTCGACATGTCAGAACTAAGATCAATTGATTTCAAACTGTTACACCAGTGAAGTTTACACTGTGTGTGTTAACATATTTCTGCAGTACAGCAAACAGAAAACAGGCAACTGACCCAATTCACACAATTACCTCTGCATGAATAGCCAGGCTTAAAATGTGCAATTAAATAAAATCAAAGGAGGTACAGTTGGTATTGTGTACAGATTTGTCAATAACGTAGCTGGAGAATTTCGCCTGATACTGAACTTAACCGCAACTAATGGGGCTCCATATTGACGCACTGCAGCAGAGTTAAAGTGTTGTTAAGTTAAGGCATTGTACACAGGTTTTAGACTGCTGAAGCCACGTTTAGATATTATAAAATGTTAAGTGGGCAGAGCCTAGGAAAAGATGCGTGTCCTGGCCAACAATTCCCCCCCCAGACAAAACTGGTCATTCACCTCATGGGTGTTTGTGGGACATTGGTGTTTGCAAATTGCAACAACCACAACAACTTGCACTTGTATAACGCCCTCCACACCGGGTAGTCTCAGAGTGCTTAACAGTGGTGGAGTCTGATTACGAGCCAAGGGGGGAGGTGGGGAGGAGGTGACTGTAAGCATGGTCAAAAAGGAAGGTTTTCAGGTGGGACTTGAAAAAGGGGAGAGAGGGGTCAAGGCAGAGGGATTCAGGAAGAGTGTTCCAGAGTTTCAGGGTGTAATAGCTGAAAGCGCGACCTCTGATGGTGGGGTGGAGGGCGCGAGAGACGAGCAGGAGGCCGGTGCCAGTCGAGCGGAGACGCGGTGGTGGATTGGGGAGTGAGGAGGTCAGAGAGGGAGGTACCAGAGAGTGAAGGGATTTGAACATGAGGGTGAGGATCCTGAAGTCGATCCGCTGGGTGATGGGGAGCCAGTGGAGCCTGGGCAGAACTGGTGAGATGTGGGTATGGAGTTTGGTCCGGGTCAGTATGTGGGCGGCAGAGTTCTGAATGAGCTGGATCTTTTGAACAGTGGAGCTGGGGAGACCGACGAGGAGTGAGTTGGAGTAATCCAGGCGGGAGGTGACAAACGCACGCACGCACGAGGGTTTCGGCTGCATTTGGGGTAAGGTACGGTCGGAGGCGGGCAATGTGGCGGAGGTGGAGGAAGGCAGAGGAATTGCAGTCACTGTACTTGTAGTAAAATCCTGTGAAGTGCTTTGAGACATCCTTCTGATGTGAAATCCTCTATATCAAATGCAAGAAGGTTACATTTTATTTCTAATCTTCCTTCAGACTCATTCACTGTACACTTGGCCATCAGTACTACACCGACTTACATTGACATCAGCTACATATTGTCATGTCTCTCCCCCGCCCCCCTATCCCGGTCTTCTTTTCTTCAATGATAACTGCAGTAGACCAGTGCAGGGTGTGGTACTGATCCACACAGATAACTAAGGTCTGGTCTAAGGTTCAATCAACCTTTGATCGAACAGCTGAACTTAAACTGGCTCAGCAGTGGAGAATTTGCAATGGGACTAGGGTAAAGAAATGCAGTACATCGGTCAAGATTCTAGCTCCCACTCCCTGCTGAAAAGGGCTATTTCTCGAGGGCTGAGACACCTTATGGTGCTGTAAATCAGCAAGGGCCTTCGACAAAATAGATGGTTGAGGGGTTGGGGGGAGGGCAGATCAGGCTGGAGTCAAATTCCAGCCCAAAAGAATTGCTGCAGAACTGTCAGATCAGGTTGATCACATTCAACCATATGCTCCTGGGCTTTCTCTATTTTCAGACGATTCCTCAAGTGCATGTAACTGTGAAATGGAAGCACAGAAACATGGAGCAAAACGAGATGCCATTCTGTGTACACGGTCATAATACCTACTGCGGCTCTTACAGGGCAGGCTTCAAGCACAAGAACAAGGAAGACCTTCCTTAGAATGAGGCATGTTTTTCTCTTCCAACAAAAGAACCATTGATGCTCCACCAATAACCTTGACAGCACTGCCCTACATGATTTGTTTTGTTGGCATTTTTTAAAGAAATAGGTTTTTAGGTTTGGGTACGATGCTGAAAATTTAAATTCTTGATCAAGTCTTCATAAGAAATTGTGATTCTATACTGTACAAGTGCTCGGCACGCTCACAGCAATTTAATAAGTTCACTGCAAGAATACAAGAAGGAAGAGACCTCGCCAAGCAGCCATGACCCGCTGGAGAACACTGCAACGAGGACTGGCTCCGAGCCGATTTATTAGATAAAGATGAATGTTGCAGTGTGCGGAGCTGAACAATCAGCAGCACAGCAATGGCGCGTTCTGCACAAGACCATTTAAATATGCCTGGAAATATTTGTATGATAACGCGAATGTGATCGCAGCAATCCAACCAGGATCTTTCAGTTCACTGCAGGAAAGCAATAAGATGTCTGTAGTAACCGAGGTTGCAAAGAAGCCTTGGGAAACCTGCTTAAACTGTGCAGCGCGAGCTGGCTATCTGATGGGGAAGGCAGAAAGAAGACGAGTTCAAAATCAAGCACGCTGCATCCACAGTCATAAGATTTCGGAAATAGACCATGTAAAGCAAACATTCTGCACTTTATCTGCACAGATGCCAGACCATAGACAAAATATACAATGCTAATCTGTCCCACTGTTCAACCCCTCACCTCTCCCTCCATCATCGCTGTGACCTACAAAATATTTGATATCTCTTTCCGTAATTATTCCATAACATTTTTCAATCGTGACATTTATGAAGCTAGATTTTAGAAAATGTCAATCTACTCAATCATTCAGTGTCAATGAACTCTTCCAGGTATTCACAGGTATTCGGTGGGTAAAATCTTCTTAATTTAGATTAAGGCTGATAATTTTGAGTGCAACTTCAACACAACAAAACTGTTCATAAGTTATAATTATATGTTCATATGATGGATGAAGTTCATGCAATATATTGGCATCATTTGAAATCTTGGTCCTTCAATGAGCAACATTGCCTGCCTCAGCCACTGCTTCTGCCCTCAGGCCGCCGAGACCCTCATTGACGCATTCATCACATCCAGGCTCACCTACGCTAACTCCCTGCTCGCCGGACTTTCCAACTCTTCTCTCCACAAGCTGCAGATTATTCAGATTTCTTCACCTCGTGCTGTCTCTCGTACCAAGCTCCATGAACCAATCACCCCGATCGTTGCCTGGTTCCACTGGTTCCCCATCCTCACTTTCAAAGCCCTCCGTGGCCTTGCTCCTCCCTACCTCTACGATCTAGTAACACCATACCAACCAGTGCACTCCCTCCCTCAGCGGGCACTGGCTTGCTTCATGCCCCCGTCCTGCCCTCCCCCCACCCCCATTGCCTGTCGGGCCTTCAGCTTTTTTGCCTCAATCCTCTGGAATTCCATCCTAGATTCCCTCCACCTCGCCCCCTCCCTTGCCTCCTTCAGGGCCCATCTCAAGTCTTTCCTCTTTGACCGTGCTTGCAGCCACTCTGCTATCTCCCCTACTGTCCACCCTTCTTGATTCCAACCCCCAGCTCGGGTGCAAATCCTTAACCGTCCAGCACCTTGGGACGTCCTTCCGACGTGAAAGGCGCTATATAATTGTAATTTTGTTGTTGTTGGATAGTTCATCATTGCATAATGTTAACATGAAATTAGAGTTAAATTTATATTGTTTGCTTTAAATTGTTTCCAGCTACATTCTGAAATGAGGACATTAATTTAGGTAGAGAAAACTTGTACAGAAGAGCATCTGAACTCTTAATTTATTACCGCTGTGTCCATCACCTATACAATACAGAGTGGCTACACTTCACAGTAAATTGCTGTAAAGCGCTCTCCTGACAGGACAGGAGCTATTACTATTATTACTCTTATTATCAATAATATTTTAAAATGGTCTGAGTTTGTCAGTGCTCAGCTTCGAATCATTGTAAATCATCAGCGCAACAGAAACTTGCCTTTCTATTCCTCGTTCATTATCGAAAAAAGAATGGATCAGTGGGCAAAAGCCCTCTCCTGCCCCAGTGTAACATTAAGCCACACAAGACCAAGATACTGTCGGTTCACTTTACAGTCCGTGTCGTCAGCTGATCCCAGTGGGAGCGCTGCGATTGATTTAAGCTGCAGAGGAGGAATATCCAGCCAGGCATCCTGCTCCTGCCCACTAGCCTGGAGCGGGTATGCGCGTGCGCACAGCTGAGAACAGGAGCAACCTCGCTTTTGTGCTGCCCTTCACAGGCGAATAGCCTGCGATAGATATTCTGTAAAGGGATCTTTATTGATGGTCAGTCACACCTGCACCAAGCAGAACACCCAAACAGAGGGGCACAGGTGAGCAACACAGCCAAGAACACGGAGATTTCAAGTGCCTTATTCTCTAATGATAAACCCCAGAAATTTTACCATCGCAGTGTGATTTCACAATGATCTAACCTGGTTTCTTTATGTATTTACGGCGCCCTGTTCGAAGCGAGGCCATGGTCTGAAACCATCAGCGTCTATACAACCACTTCAGGACTGCGATGGCCACTTTAAGGGCACGTGTTTGAAATCTCAGAACGGTTAAAAAAAAACAACAGAGGAACAACGATGTTTCATTTTGTGAAATAAAACCGGAAAGGGTTCCTCGACCTAAAATGTTACTGATGCAACGGTCTGTGCACAAGGTCATTCACATCCATTGGCTCCGTTCTGACACTGGTGATGAAAGCGATGACTCGTCACATTCAGCATAAGGTGACAAATCCAATTCCACTCAAGTATTTGGTGGCCCGAAAAGATGTCTGTCTGCCGTGTTAGACGTGAGAGAACCAGCTTTAAAAGGAAAAAGGATGATCTGCAGACACACAGTGCCCGGTATCGGTGTCCTATTTACATACTCTCGCTCTCTTATTCACATAGTTACTGTAGATGCTCAGACTTGCACTTGCCACACATTTTGTGCATCCAAAGAGTATTTCAGGTGTCTGAAGGAGGCAGACTTTTGATGTGGAGTTTCTTTCTGTAGCCATACACACACACACACACACACACACACACACAGAGTACCATTTAGCAATCATTCATAATTCTGAAATGAAAATCAAACAGTTACTGTTGTGACAAACAAACCAAGAGGAGATCTGTGTTACTCCACACGTTGGGTTTGTATCCAATTTTCTTCGATTCCTGGCTTTGGCCCCAAATTGTTACCCAATGAATTGAATCGGAGAATAGACCTCCACTTGTTCTGCTCCTAAACAGCCTCCTGGGAATTGCATTCATTCAAGATGGGTTTAATGCTCCCCCTCAGGGAAGGTGCTTATTTCTTTCCGCTTTGCTGAGGTGGTGCAACTCAGAATGGAAACTGGAAAGAAAACGCATTGCCTGGAAGAAGTGGAGACATAGAGAGCTCTGGTGCAGTGGACCATTTGAGGCACAAAGCCCATTCCAGTCCAGCCCAGTCTACACACAGGAGCTNAAAAAAAACACCTTTAACAAGCACACAAGGCTTTTGGACTTCATTATTTTGGACGCATTATTTCCTTTTTACCCCCCACCCACCCCCCCGAACACCTCAATACTCACGAGGGAGTGAAAGCTTCAGATTCTGCTGCAGTGTGTATGTCAGTTGCCGAGAGAGGAGGGTGGAAGCCATCTTCGATTCCTAAGACTGAACGAGGGACGTGGGTTGAACGACAGAGGCAGTTCAGATCAAGACTCCCAGCCTGCAGTTCTGTGGAGGAGAAAAGCAGATAAAATGTCTCTGAAAAAGGGCTCCTCCTCGTTCATTGGCAGTGACGTGTCATTGCACGGCAGAGCTTATGCTTTGAGCAGATTCGTGGAATGTTTTATTTCTTGCGCCACATCTCATCTATTCTAGAAACAAACAAGTCAATTATGTCTGGCGTCACGTGTCGCTGGACATTGTGAAACCACCTAGGGCCATCTCATCCTTCTGGCAATCAGCAATCCGGGGAGCAAATCACATCTACAAAATTCTTCACGCGGTTAGTGTTTCCATAGGGAAGCTTGAGGGAAATAAAATAAAAGGTGCTAAGGGAAACAACACATACAGGTCCTAATTCCACCAATGTGTCAACGCTGTTCAATTTATCGCCGCGCATCAAATGATCCACTTTACGGCTCTGAAGCACCAACCGCCACGCATGAGGATTTTATTTTCATCGGTTTTGAAGTTCGGTCGGACTTTCATTCATAATGACCAGAATTAACATTGCGCAGTGTGCTTTTGGTAAATTTGACTGTTTTCAGCCAATAATTCAAAATCATCAAGTCAAACCAACATTTGGTTTGGGGGAGGGAGAGTCTGTGATTGGCGCTGTCTGAGCTTATCTGTGCTGGGGAGAGCATTTTTCCGCACTGGTCAATGACTGTCAAGTAGGTCAGATGCAGGATAAAGCTTCTCTTTCCCGGCTCAATAAAATCCTCGACATCAGAAGAGCTTCCTTCACTACCGCAGTGCAACATTTCCACTTCCCACAGCAGACACGTTCCCTAATGTCAGGAGAGATGCAGTCATCAGCTCAGAGAGCGCACACAACCAACTGTGTAACGTGCATGTCACTTGCTCTGTGTCACGCCACAAGGTTCAAAGTCTCCTGACTCTTGATTGTGCTGTTAATATATTTAACCTTCTTAGAAAAAGATTAAAGCAGTTCTTCCTAGTCGACCTTTTCACTGCCCCTCACAAAACATTTCCACCCTTACTGTTTCCTGAATCACAGGTTCTGCTGTTTATTGCCGTTTTTCCAAAAGCAAAATCACTGTTCCTTTCATATTGCAACTCTTCCACAAAAAAAATTGAACGGTCTGTCTTTACAAAACCTTCCCTGTCTATTCTCTCCTTGCATAACAGGTTATTTTGTCGGCAAGAACTGGAGCATTTTCACCGTATACACAATTTAAATCTCAGTAATTTGGTCCTAAAGTTCTCTGCACAACTACAAAGTATCTAATCACTTGATGACACACGCTTATCTTTATTTGACAATATTCCCTCGTTATCTGCTAAGCCAAATTCTCTCCTGTACACACCAATTTAACTATCACTCACTGAAGTCTATTATTCCATTCATCCTCCACATGGATCCAAGTACTTTTATTGCCTAATGCCCTTGCACTCTTTGCTTTGAACTGAATACAGCACTTCCTCAGACATTCTCTCCACAATCTCATGCGTGCCAGTAAGTAATATAGCCAACGGTTCAACCTGCTACGTCACTGCGAAAGTCTGTATTTTGTGAGTCGGCACTGAAGAATCTGCTCAGCTTATTCAAGGACTATAAGGAGATCTGGCATTACTGAGGCAACAACCATGGGGCAAAAAATATGCTAATGCAGTGTAAAATGAGAAGGACAAATTAAAAATAGGCTGTGCTAATAGGTTGTGATAAACACATTCAAAACACAACAACTTGCATTCATATAACACTTCACTCCGCAGTTCCGCAGTGCTTAATGGTGCTGGAGTCTGATCTCGAGCCAGGGGAGAGGGATGGGGTAGGTGACCGTAAGCATGGTCAAAAAGGAAGGTCTTTAGGTGGGATTTGACAGTGGGGAAGGAGGGGGCAAGGCGGAGGGATTGGGGGGGGGGGGGAGAGTTCCAGAGCTTCAGGGGGCAGTGACTGAAAGCACAGCCGCCGATGGTGGAGCGGAGGGACGAGGGATGCGCAGGAGGCCGTAGCTAGACGAGCGGAGGCAGTGGGTGGTGGAGTGGGGGTGAGCAAGTCGGGAAGATTAAGGAGGTGCGAGGGCATGAACAAATTTATACAAGCAGCAAGGGAAAGTCATTCAACAGAGATTTTCAAAATAGTATGAAACTGCGTTGTGTTTGTTCGAACGAACTTTAGTCTTAAAGCAGCAAATATGTGTTGACACGGTTTATTTTGATCTCACGCATTCCTTGATGGGACACATTATTGGAAGCAAAGTTTAAAGGAAGGCTAAGAGTCAAGGAACAACATTCAGGGCCACAGATACGGTTGCAGCTCCAGTTACAATGATTTTACACCGAGAATAAACTTGCCTGCACTACATGTGTGAGTTGAAGGGAGTTTCTCCCAATGTAGCCTGGCCAAAAATCCTCCACCTAAGTTTGATCATTTATGTCTCCTCGTGTGTCATTGCTGTACACAAATTGTCTGCCACATTCACCTATAAAATACAGTCACTACACTTTACGGAAAAATCCTAAGAAGTGCCTTGAGCATCCTCCTAATGTGAAGGCACTGTATCAAATGCAAGGGTTATTATTCTAATTAGTTGATTCCAGAACTTGGGCCATGTGTATTTATATTATATATGTATTAGACACTGCAATCTTATCAATTTTTAGATTCCTCTAAGAACTACAGAAAATCGGCTTAAAATTAAGGCTCGATTCAACAATTTGCTAAAATTCTGGGTAGTCTAATTGGCAGCTGTGTTCGCCCACAAAATATACAATCAATCCACTTTATAGTGTATATCTTGAAGCACTTTGAGACGTCTCGATGACGTGATAAAACGTTATATCGAATGCAAGAATTATTTTTACTATTATATGAATAAAGATATGGGAGTTTTTCCTGGTGTCCTGGTCAACAATCCCCCAGATAAAATTGGTCATTCACCTCATGGCTGTTTGTAGAGCGTTGCTGTGTGCAAATTGGTTGTTGCATTTGCCTGTAAAATACATAGCTACACAACTAACTGCACTTTACACTGTGAAGTGCTGTTGAGTTGTCCTCCTGATGGGAAAGGCACTATATCAAATGCAAGAATTATTATTATTTTATTATTCTGATGTAGGAACATTGACCTGTTTGCTATACCTTGTGGACATTGCTTATGTTGATATATTTCTGTACAAAGTCAAGTCACTGAACACTTTGATCGCTAGGCCAGAAGACACTTTGGACTGTGCAGTGGTTACAGTTCAACAGGCACCAGCTTCTCACTGAACTAACTAGTCTTCATGTGTGTTGATTGACAATGAGTGTTAGCAGGTTGTGTGTTAATTTGGAGGTGGGGGGGGGGGGCAAAAGAGAAGAGTAACATATCATAGCCAAATCTGATTTTGTCCTTAGCAGACATACATAAACCTACACTTTCTAGGATCAATAAGTAAGAAATCCAGCCAAATTTCCCCAAACCCTAGGGACACTGAGCCGATGATACTATTCCCACTATTTCCCCGGCTAAGTTAAGCCAACTCCGTTCACAGCAAGAATCCAATCTTTCAGAACTGCACTTCTCTGTGCCATAATTGTGCAGACCGTGTATCCATAGAGCTCCCTAATTGCAGACTAGCAAGTGGTACAAAGTTGAAAGTAATCATAAACCTGTGAGAAACATATACAAGCATTTCAATGCCAAACATTGGCAAAAACCCTTCAACCCGTCTTGTTTCTCGGCTCATAATGTAGAATCAAGACTAACCTTGCAAATGCTACAAAGGGTTAGGAAAAGCTTTGATGAAATGAATACTACAGTCTGTGATTGATAACTAGGAACACAGTGTTTGCTGCACGCAGGATTCGGGAGTGACTCCAGGTTTCAGTGGATTAGCTCTAAGCAAACGTGATATCTCAAAAGCTTCTCGTTTAGAATAGGAAGTCTAGAACAGCGATAGAAAAGAATTCTGAACCATTTAAACATTGTTGGTTTTGCTGGTAAGTACGAACTGCCTCACTGTTTGAGTTTAAAGTTTATCCTGCCGTTTAGAAGATGTACTAAATAGTTACAATGATTTCCTTATTCCCACTCACTGACATTTGCAATACATTTTATTCTTTTTTTCAGATGCAAAGCAAATTGAGTTAACTGTGTTTGGTTTGTCATTAACATCTATATTCTGCCTCTTGGTGACATCATCCGCAGACATGGGGTCATCTTCCACATATGTGCGGATGACACCCAACTCTTCCTCTCTGCCTCCATCCTTGATGCCAGGACCCACTGCTGTCCTGACAGAATGTCTGTCAGACATCAAGTCCAGGATGAGAGCGAACTTTCTTCAGTTGAACGTCAACAAGACCGAGGTTCTCCTGATTGGCTGCTGTCAGCGCCTCCTCACTTCAGGAGCTAACAGCATCACCATTCATGGTTACACACTCAACCTTGTTAAGCCAGTCCAGAACCTTGTTTGACCCTCAACTATCCTTTCGCCCACATCTGCGCCATGACCCGCTCTGCCTTCCTCCACTTCCGCAACGTCCCCGACGCTGTCTCACACCGCAGGCCACCGAAACCCTCATACACGCCTTCATTACATTGAGGCTCGACTATGCAAACTCCTTGCTTGTCGGCCTCTCCAACTCCTCCCTCCACAGACTGCAGATCATCCAGAACTCTGCAGCCCGTGTCCTCTCCCTCACCAGGCTCCAAGACCCTATCAGCCCCATCCTCGCCCGACTCCACTGGCTTCCCATCACACAGAGGATACAGTTCAAGATCCTGGTCCTCACCTTCAAAGCCCTGCATGGTCTTGCTCCCCTCTACCTCTCCGACCTCCTAACCCGTTACCATCCTGTTTGCTCTCTCCGCTCAGCGGGCTCTAGCCTGCTTCACGTTCCCCCGCCTCGCTCGCCCCACTATCAGCGAGCGGTCCTCACCGCCACTCTGCACCCACCCTCTGGAACTCCATGCCTCAGTCCCTCCTTCTCGCCCCCTCCCTCGCCACCTTCAAGACCCACCTCAAGACCCTTCTCTTCGACAGTGACTTTGAATCTC